GCTAATTTGTTGCAATTTCGCTGTTACTGTTGGGACATGGGAGTGAAACCTAGCTAAAGAATATGCCAAGAAACCTCAATGTCACAATGTCACGATGACATGACGTGACATGGCACAATTGAGAGTTGGGAATAGAAACTTCGCGATCAATGAGTACGTACCCATTTAGGAATTTCTTAGAGGACACAATGAGGACACGGCAAAGAATATGTGCCAAAAAGTATATGACATCTGTCAGCTAAGAAATACCGCAGAGCTAGACGTCCCTTTCCTCTTCTCAACCATGCTCGTAACATCCTAGCTTTCAAATACACTCTGAGAACTCAGGGAAAGGTCGAACGAATAACACGTCTACTATCGGATACCTCCGCTTTTCACACCAGAGGTACTGGGATAGGATCCTCAGTCCACGAGCCGAAAGGTTGCACCATGTCATCTAAGACATTTCTAGGCCCGCTGCTCTGACTCCCAAAAAGATCTTTTTCCTCTGAGAGACAGACGGACGGAAAATCAGAGCTCACCGGATATTTCCGTTCTAAGTACCACAGATGGTAGGCAAGGCTACCGATCCTCACAAGAGTTTGTGTTGAGAAGTGTAGTCGCCAGGTTCACATATTACTCTTCCAGGATGACTGAAATTTCATCTGGAGAGGCTTCAGCTTGCTCTCAAATCATTACACACACGCTGCAACCATTTATTGAACGGAATCACCCGAAAGGCCAAGCAAGAGAACATATTTCACTGTGCTGTTATCTGCATGTTGGAGTCTCTACAAGCGTCTTGAGTCCCAAATCATATGCATGGATATCTCGTTATCCCGTCTACGGTGGCTACACCTCATTGGCCCTGCATAGTATTCGACATCATAACTAAACGCGGAGCCTCGGATTGTTCCGGAGAACCAAGAACTGGACTGTGTTATGTTGGAGTTGGAGTCTTTACCATGAGGCATGGCAAATGTTCTTTGATGATCATCCAAATCATATGTATAATTTTGCATTGTTTGTCCCCAAATCGGCTACGGTCTCACATTCATGAATAGGCGGGTAAGGCTACCGAGTTTAAATAGAGTTGGATTTTAGGTGGAAACATTTCTCCAAACACCTCAGTTGGGTTTTTGCGTGTTCTGTGGGTGACACCCCTAAATCTACATGTATTAAGCGCCCATATATGTCGAGTGATATGCTATGATTCTTCCCTATCGATAGGGCTTTCGGGTAAGTACATGTAGCCTGCTTATACATTAGAGCGTTTTGGCAACGGCACTTTTACAAATTTCTAGGTCAAATTTTGAGTTCTTGGCTCTGCGCCGCTAGAAGCGATTCCGTTGCTTCTTTGGTGTGAAATCGCAGCAGATCCTGGAAGATCGACTTGTAAATGCTTGTAGCAGCACAGAGCCAAGAACTCAACTTTTGACCTAGAAATTTGGAAAAGGGCGGTTGCCAAAACGCTCTATTTCGGACTAACCGGTATCATTGCTATCCTCATTGGTATTAGCCAGAGAAACGCGCTAAACCTTTCTTATTTCTTCTGGTTTTCTTTCCGAAATGACCACAATCGAGTAAGTCGCTTCTTCGTACCTGATCATCTCTATCCAGTCCTAATTCAATCGACCTGCTAGTGTATCTATCCCAAGCACAATTACAATTAACTCCCCGACCCCGCATCCCATTTTCACAAAGTAGATCAAACGGACTACCTTCCCACCTCGACCTCAAATCCGCCCGCCCCCGCTTTACCTCCGCCCGAAGTTTCGGGAGGTGGACGTGAAATTTCTAGAAGGGTTAGCTCATCATGAGAAGAAAGACTTGGGTGTTATAAGAAACTTAGCTGAAGGGTTCCGAGAAGTGATCCTCGGTTGTGGCGTTATGCAATTACGGTTAATTGTAGGTGAGGCAATTGTGGGAACAGTTGCTAGAGGATAATCAGGGACAATGGTTAGAGACAGGTGAAAGAAAAATGATAGGTATATTTTTCCCTCTCCAGCTGAAGGACTCTACTGGCTGATTACTTCTTTATGTAGTTTGTGAAATGTCGAGGGTCTACTCGAGCTCCTAGATCCTACGCTCAGGTCTTGAGGAATATATGCTTCCATCCCATCGTTCTAGAGTGTCCCATTGTTCCGTCTCTCAAATTACAGGCCTCGTTCTCCGCTTCCAAGCGCGCTAGGGCGTTCCTATGATGCTGTTCCCTTGCCTGTTCGCCTCGCTTCATTGCTAAAATAACAATAGAGCAAGGATGCACGGAAATTAAACACACCGTTGTCTAGATAACTAGCTAACTTACTATAATGTGAGCAATCAAACAAAAAATCTCAGTTCGATTCAACTCATGGGGTACAATACCGTTAACCACAGTTGAATCAAAACAAACTGAATGGTGTTTTGTGATCTTTCGGGGTCTTTATACCACCGGAGACCTAGCCCTGGGAGGCTAAGCTAGATGTGATCTGGACTCGGTGGAGACCTGCTTTGAGTTCCAAATGCGGGGAGTAATTCTGTTCAACGCGTATCACAGAAAGGAGCACCTGTCTCTGAGTACTGTATCTACTTATTTGACCGTTTACTCTGCTACTAAACATGTGGGAAAGAGGCACGCAGCGGGAGGAGGTCAACAACCGGTGAGGTGTCATGTATCACGGAATAAGAACATGCTACACGTATGTACCCCATTGACACGGGGTTGATCAACAGCATGTAGTTTATATTGAAAATCAGGCGCAAAGCCTTGGATACTTACTACACATCTACTCGGGGCAGGCAATAAGAACCTGAAAATGCAAGCTACAAGCAGGGGCTCAATTTGGTGTAGCTTTTCGCCAGCCACGAATCAGAGGTCGTTACCATAAAAGTCATTTTCAGGTTCTTCTTGCCTGCCCCGAGTATGTTGGAATCCTGCGGGGGAAGTGAGGAATTAAAGAAGGATTGCGCGGTAAGGCTAGCAGCATACATCCAGAGTAGCGCGCTCCCCCCACTAAATTACAAATATGATTTATTACGATGAAAATACGTAGTTCTAAATAGTTCTAAACGTGTGTATCTGGATACCCTATATTTATGTGCCTATTAGATCAGCCCTCACAGCTAGGAAGGAGCAATAGCGTAATGGAATAAATAAGAAAAACACGTGCCTCGCGCGCACACGAGCAACGCAGAGACATCCGACTGGTCAATTCAACAACCACCACCCCAGATCGGATCCTGAAGGAGGTTGTTTCCCCGCGCTGTAAGGGATTCCACTCTACTTTTCATTCTTTTTTCCACCTGCGAATACATAATTGGAATAGGTACAAAATGGTACTCTAACGACCTATGTAGGCGGCAATACATGTAGTTGCACCTACCCGCCTAGGAGTTGACCAAACAAGTCCCGCCTCCTGGGTCTCGGGTGGAATAGAGTAGTATCATCCCTAGGCACTCTGGCCAAGGGATGGGAGGACTCGGGGAAAGAAGCAGCTAGGAACATCCTTACTATTCTATGCCGACTGTAGATACCCTATAGATCACAACCCCATCCACCCCATTGGAGCCATAGAGGTACTCCATACACATCGCCTCGCCTCGAAAGAAAGGCTTTAGAGAATCTGAGTCTGGGGGGGGAGAGTAAGACACACACCGATCCGACATGGACATGGTTATGATAACTGTTTCTCGGTAGAACTACCTAGGAGAATACCTGTACGGTACCTACTCTACTCTAACTATTCTACAGCATTAGGTAGAACAACATTACAAATCGTCCCCCCTTCGCTCACTCCGGATCTGATTCAGATCTCAGCATCGAGCGCTAAAGGGTTCTTTTGGAACCTTCAACTGCTTTCGATCGTTTGCTACTCTAGAGCCAACCCCGTGGACGTATAGGAAGGGTAGGTCAGCCCGGCCCGCTGTCCGGCGATCATCTTGTGGACCACGCAGGCCAGGACTTTTTTGTCCTCTCATCCTCTTTTTCCTCTCACTCCACGACCTTGTCGTTCCACCACAACTACCACCACCAAGTGCTAAGAAGTGCGTTACTCGGAATATCTAATTCTGTCACGATACCTTAAGAGGCGTTGTCTCGGTTCTTGCAGAGGGGGCGGGGGAGAGAAACTAAAACTATTTCGTAAGTGAGTTATATTACGATTGTGATGACGGAAGAACCATCCTTGATGATGATGATTGCTACTAGTAGTAGTTGAGTGTTTGTTGGGTGTGTGTATGTCTTGGTTTGTGCTCTATGGACGCCTGGTAGAGTACGAATTGAATTCCGCCGGGCTCTACTAGAGTAGAGTAGGTATGTAGAGTAGCTTCACTAGCTTCTTCTTCTCCGTCTGTGTGTTATTTTTCTTTTCTTTTCTTTTTTCCCACTTGCTTTTCTGGAGAATCCCTGGTAAGGGATGTTCTTCGCGTGGGCTTTTTTGTGCTGTCGTACAGATTGGTACTTGCGACTTTGTACCTTTTGAGCCAAGTCGCCGTCCACACTGCGGCGGTCTCCACGCCTAGTTTCTAGCCCACCATCATGACCTACATGAGTACCTACAGTACCATACATATGTAGAGTAGTACCACCGCTACCAACATAGCTTTCTTTTATCTACTCCAATTACCCAACCCTACCTCAACTCTACTCACCTCACCTCACCTTACCTTACCTCCTTTCCTTTCTTTTCTTCTTCTCATTTTCATATTAAACCAGTTACCTGTCTCTCTTCCTTATTTTAATTTTTTCTCTCCCTTCCTTTGAGTTTTAATCAAATCCCCGGGCACCACTCTCCCCCCCATCGCTTACATATTTCTGTGTGTGGTTGCTCGAATTCCGTTATCAGTTCGTTATTTCAGCCTCAGCCTTGTTACGTTATAACATATCATCAAAGATAAGAGAAAAAAGCCCTGCAGCAGCAAGCAACTTGCAGTGTTGTGTGTGCAACGAGTGAGAGAAAGTCCGAGTAGTCTGACTGATCAAGCTCTTTCCCACTTCGTAACAACCAACTTTTCCACAACCACCATACAAGCAACCAAACATGGCACAACGTTCCGCCCGCGCCCGAGTCAAGCTCGACAAAATCTCCGCCTCGGGATCTCCGTCTTCGCCTTCGACAACCTCTCATTCGCGGACAGGGTCGAAGGGTGTTGCGAAGATTGGTTCCGGGGGTTTGCTAACGCCGTCTGTGTCGTCTGTGTCGGGATCTTCGCGCGGGAGCATTCAGTTGTCGCATTCGGGCCCAAAGATTGGGAAGAGCGCCTTGAGGAGCTTCTTTGATAGTCATAGTGAGAAGATTAGAGGGAGGTTGAGTAGTGGTTCGGGTCTTGGGAAGAAAGATGTGCACCAAAGTGGATATGGGTTGGGGTTAGGATTGGGGTTGGGTGGTGGCATGTTGTCACTAGGTGAGAAGATTGAGATAAAACGATGGGAAGGTGGCGGACGACGGGAAGAATTATGGGAAGGTGGAGGGCAAGGACGAAAGGTATATACTATGTTCCTTCCCTTAATATCAGATTTTTTATTAATAATTTGTCGATAGGACCTGGAGTTGTGGTTCCCGGATGGTGATACACTAGTTTATCTTACCGAACGGCCAATAATACCTCGAAATCCTCAAGGCCTTTACAAACCACCACCGCCGAAAGCATCATTTCGACTATACTCATCCGCTCTAAGAAAGACTGAATCACCATTTTTGATAGCCGCACTCGAAGAATCCTTTAGAGAGCGACCATTAACGCCCCCTCGGTATACAGGTGCAAATGGGTCTGATGATGGGATCTCACCTACAAGCATGGAGTTTGAATACCAGCTTGGCTCACAGAAGAAATCGAATAAGAGCGATGCAAATAGCGAGGAAGGCGTTCAATACAGACTATATTTCCCTGCGCAAATGGGTGGTGACAAGCTCGCAACCCACAAGCATCATCTTACCACACGCAATTTCTTTGCAGTCCTTTTCAATAAAGCGCTAGTAGGTATAACACTCGGTCAGACTCTGCTTGACCTCGTCGACCGAATGGACTTATATCTCAGCCCCCCGAACCCCCTGAATTACGATCTTGTGGATCATGGAGTATCAGAAATCGAATCTCCTTACGGAAGTCTTATGAGTCCCAAGGGGCAAATGAGCACCCAAAAGATCATAATTGATTACCTCAACGGTCGTGATTTTGATGATGTTCGTAACTGGCCTGAAGGTGCTGCAGGTCTTGTGGTCTGGGCGGAAAGGGCTAGTGCATCTGGAGCCTTGGGTTGCGGGTTAGGCGGTGGTGAGATGGTAGGAGGTGTTGAAAGCCTATGGCGGGAAGGATTCGTTCATTGTACAGGAATGCTGGCGCGGCTGGAAGGGGGCGGAGAGTGGAGGGAGATATCACCCATCACAAAGGCCCTGATCGACCGAGCCTCATTAGAGATTCAAGTCCGTGTTGCTGGTGCGGATCAGAGACTGAGCAATTTCAACTTCACTGACATGTGGCCTACCACATCTTCAGCAGCACCACACGCAAGGGCAGCATTTGATAAGTTCCAAAAGTTTTTGATCAAGCACTATTCCTCAAGATTTGGGTCATGGCCGCCTCACACACCCGATGGCCGCCTGAGCAGAATGGTATATGTCCAACTCCAGCGAGATTTCTCAGCGCTTTATGACTATCTAGTCGACAGGGATGTGTCGTGGAGTAACAGTAATGCCCAAACCCACCACCCCCGCCAGAACAATACTCAGGGCGTCGGTATAGTAAATAAACCGAACAACACTGTTGCCGGAAACAAACTTGTCAATCATAAATCACCACACTGGCGGGCAGACGACGAGGAACTTCACATCACTGATATTCTAATCACATTTGATGAGAAGCAAAAGTATCCGCATATGCCATATCCGTTCCCATTAGTGCCACCACCCATGGTTATGGGGCGAGGGTTCAAGAATCGCTTCTTTCAAGGTGCCAGAAGAGGTTCAATCACAAATACGCCGACATCAGCGTTTACCACCCCTGCCACCGCGGATAAAGCTGCCGCATTGTCTTTATCAGAGTCGACCAATATTATGTCTCTCATGAGTTCATCAGTATCAAATGATCTGGTAGATGCATTTGCAAAGCATGAGAAGTCTATTTCCGCGTCAGAAATTGACCCACATGATGCCCGAAAAGGAAGATGGATTCTCATCTATGGAATCTTACAAACCCTCGCTACAGTCGCTGTCGATGCACCAGGAATCAGATACTCTGAGGGTGTTGATTACTTCCTCTGTCCAAAACTTCGGGGTACCCCACCATGGAAATATTGTGGTGAGCGTGGCATGGATTCATCAGGTTTGTCGGGATCTATCATTGCCGATGAACGGAGCCATTTCCGCTCGCACTGCTGGACTGTTCCAAGGACCTGGAGGCTTGCCGGGCCCCTGCCTTCGACTGCAGTGGTGCCAAACCACAGCCGCGACGATAATGAGCGCGAGACATCAGAGCTATCAGGGGGGAGAATGAATGATATTGAGAGCGGGGATGATGGAGATGATGAGATGGGGGATGTTGAGAGCAGCCCAGTTATGGGTGGAGGATTAGGAAGAAAAAAGAGCAAGAGATATGATAGCATTTCTAGTAGCAGCGGATTGGGCTCGCCAATTCTGATGGAAAATAAGGTTAGGTGGCAAGATGCATGGGGCATGGGGCCACAGGGGACCCCAGGAAGAATGGGAGGTGGTCCTTATTATCATTAATGGTTAGGTTTGGGAAATTAGGTTTTGATTAGGGCTTGGTTGGGAGGATTGGAGTTGGAGTATTTTTTATTTTTTTATCATCTTTTTTCTCATGTCACAATCAGCTTTTGGTCTCGTTTCTCTTTTTTTCGTTTATTTTTGGGTTTCTTATTCATTATTGTATGTTATTTTACTGGACTCGTTTTTCCATTTCTTTTGTTCAAATACCCTTTTCGTGTGTTTATATCTTGAATGCGTGAGTGATACTCAATCATCAGACCAAAAATCTCCCTCTCCTCTGTTCATAGAAGCGTGACGTGGCTTGTAAATAATTTTGTCCTCTTTTGGTTAGTAACATTACTATTCAATACGTGACAAATGATTATTTTTGGGTGTCACATTAATTGAATATTTGGCTACATGGCAGCACCTCGAAATCTGAGCCCATATTTATTAGTAATACGGCATTATTTGAGACTGGAGCTGCGCTGCGCTTAGCAACGCCCTGAAGCTCGCGGCTCATAGGTACTCCTACTCTACAAGCTCCTTTCTCGCACTTGTAGCCTAGTTTAACTTCAGCTTCGCCATAACTCCTGCAAAGTAAATTAACGCCTTCCTTTCCTTAATTTCGAAAGGCAATCGACGAAATTAAAAAAGTCAAGACAGCAGAATTCTTTATTTGATACAGGGATATATATATATGCTTTGTTAGGTCATATTCTTCATGTGAAGTTGTCTAGAAACTTCCCGAATTGGGAACGGATAACTGCTTGACGGTCAAGTCTCTACATTCAAGCTTGAGCTGCTCAGCATGATGATGACTCAAGGATAACTAAGCAAATACTGAGCGACTCTGCCCACTTAACCCTGAAGTAAACTTCAGGGCAATATTAAGTATGGTCTATATCTATGGAAGTGTCTCACGCATCTGTACCGAGAACCATTTCGGTGTGTATGTGACGTGTGCGAATCATCAAACCCGTCCCGTAGCTCAGAGGAGCTACTTCACTGGACCAAGGAGTAGAAATGTACTCGCGACAGGCGTGAAGCACCCGAATATGCAGCTACAAGTTTTTGGTGTATTTTTGACTTCTACTCCAATGGAAATTGCAGATTAGGACGTGCATTTTTGTGTACTTATTACCTGCCGCGAGTACGTGATTGCTTGGCTTGCAGTCTACGTTACAACATGTAGTCTCACACCTACATATCCTTTAGGTTTAGAATTGTGGTTTTATTTTTATTTGCAGTACCACACTTTATATATCTGCGAGATCCGGCCTTCCAGACCTCTTCTCTTCTCATCTCCAGTTCTATATCCAACCAACAAAAGGGAAATACAACACGGCAATGGTGTAGCAGCTCATTGGAGGATCTTGAATATGCCGGGCGAATGAGATACGAGTGATCTCACATGATTCAAGTGCAACATCAGAATCGAGAACGAGCACAAACTCTTTCGAGAAAAACAAGCCTAAATACCTCTGAAAGTTTCATTATACCGCCGTACTCTCTATTTATGGTTGTTGAAAACGCCTACATACCCTTTATGACTCAAAGCTAGCTAACACGTGTGGGTTAGGGTTCAATCATCTCGCCAGTTATATAATACTGGTGAATCTGTCATCTTCGCAAACATGCAAACCACATCAGATCGAACTTTCACGATCATACACGTCGTTCAGCAGGTCGAACTCTCACTTTAGAAAGCATAATAAAAGCCTCACCACCAGATAGGGCCATCATGTTGTCTAGAGACCTGCCTGGCCTAGACGTACGTTTGGGAGACGTCATAAATATGACAATTTATACTTGACCCCATTGGCGTCGAGTGCGCACTTATGATTCCCGAAAGTTACCGATCACCACCTTCATGATCACACTTTCGTGTACCAACCACTACCTTACGTGCCCCTCCAGCACGATATAATTCAGTATCTTTTCGGCAGTTCATTAAATGACAGCAAATGTTGATGCAACGAGCGATATATATTAGTGTGAAAAAAAATATAAAAATTACACAGGTCAGGTCGGGGCCAAAGCTGAATTTATTGAAGCCCAATAATAACGAAGAATTGAGATCGATACGCGCCGAGAATTTCTGTTTGGTCCGACTAGGATGTAGGGCTGGACTTTCCAAAGTAATGTTTTACTAGTAGCTCCACAACTAATTCTACAATTATTATATAGTTACAGTCGTCGATGCCACGTCCGACCCAAGTCGGTATGCGGTCACATTCATGTATGTACTCTATCTGGGTCAAAGATTGATCAGTGATAGAGGACATATAGCTAGGATTCTAGAAAGTATCGATATATATCACCTCGAATTACCCTGCTTTGGCGGGCAGGGCTGCAGCTCAGGATAAAATATATCCTTTTTGTGTTGATTCTATATTTATATTTCCCGTCTGTACCTGGGTACGTACGTGGGAAACGCCTGATCTGCATACTCAAAAACATCCCAATTCCAAGTTGGCGTGAGAGAGGGGTGTTGGTGGCTTCCATGATCCACCAATCCACCCAGGGATTTGGAGCCGCATGCGGGAGACCTGCAGGCGCTGGGAAGCTTGCCACCCCATGCATCTCGAGATCAATAGGCCATCCATTGGATAACCTCCCATCGCTCTTCGCATCGCCAGTACAATCTAGCCACGTCAGTCCTCCGCCACGACGTGAAGTACTCTGAGCCACTGACTGGGAACGCTTTTGCGCACTCGGATTGGATGAAACATGAAGCTGATTAAGGCTAAAATATTTCGTTGCCAGCATTTTGCTGTTTGGTGCGGGGTTGACAGAAGTGTTGTTGTTTTGCTTGACGATCAAGGTTTAAGCTCCCGACATACATATTAAATCCAGTGGCCCCATCTTTAACTTTTATGCTTGACTGCGAAATAATTAAAGCACCCACGCCGACAACTGCTTCAAGATCAACAGCTTTCAAGATCAACAGCTCTCTGAGGGACAATCGTCAGCTATCACAATGTCGTCTTCGATGGAGGTGACGTTGGCGTATGATTACAGTACCGGAGACTTTCTTGCATTTGTAACACTCGTCCACAAGCTCTACTGGCTATTCTACAAAGTAGCGAAAGATGCACCAGAGGACTTCAAGAAGCTCGTCCGCGATATAGGAGCACTATTCGAGTGCATTTCAACTCTCGATGAGGAAGCTACAAAACCTGGCTCGCCTCTAGGCCGTGCAAAACAAGAAAGAGTCCGCGCTGTGAAGAACTTGATAAGTCGAGGGGAGGTGACACTGGAAAGGTTGCAAACTTGGGCGGAGAAGCACGAAACTCTACGAGAGATATCGAGGCCAAAGATGAAGCAGTGGTATGATAAAGCACGATGGGCCTACAATATACCCGAGTTGGATGCGATGCGGAAGCAGGTGGGTTACACTTTGAGTCAATCAGACTGCGGTGAGGGCAGCGCTAATCCTGGCCCGGTAGGTACTTGGTCATGTTGGGTTCATGAGGTTGTTCTTGAACTCACTGGGCAAGTAATGATCCCCCAGGCAGCAAAATCCTTTTTCGTGCATATGTTGATCAAAAAATGATTCTCCACAATAGGCAATATCGAGAAAACTCGAGTTTCGATGAAGTATTCGCAAAATCCGTCATGGGCGCGGCTTTCAAGAATAACGAGAAGGTTCTGCAGCGGCATTGGGCAGCAATTGCAGCTGACAAATGGAACGAGGCTGGTAAACTATGGCTGAAGTCGAATGTAATTATTAAGATTCCTAGCAACCATGTAAAGGCGGTTTACTAACGGAAGACCAGACGAGTGCCTCTAAGCCGCTCCCAATGTCAACGCCTAAGCAACTGGAGATAAATGGTGGGCATCACCTCCCCTCACCGCCCCCACCGTCCGTGGTTCTGCATCCTACACGATTGAATCCGCCGCCGCCGCCGCCGCCACCAGTTCCGGTACCCCCCTCGAGGCAAGGAATGGTTCGATGCTCTTGCAAAGACCCCAATTGCAAATTGTGGATGCAAGCAAGATGAGAGATTATGTTACTGCAGCGAAATGGAACGAGACGAATAGTTTGTAATAAGGTTTTGTCACCCTGATATTTTGATGTATAAATTTCTTTTAGAAGGTAGGGGTGGGGGAGTCCAGAGATTTGAGAAGAATGCCTGAGGAAATGGAGGGGGAGAAAGAGGCAGCTGAGAACTGGCCAAGAGGGGGATAATAAGGGATTATGGTGTCCACCACCAATTTACCACCTAGCTATCTAGGTACACACAAAGCGTACGTTGTACCTTATGTGTGTTATTATGGACAGTGTTGTAGGGATGATCTTTTTATTCATTAGATATCGATTCCACGCATTTGAAGTCGATCTTTAATTTATGAGTTGTATTTTCACCAATGAAATTCAAGTCTCAAGTTTTAATGGCACGTAGGGCCAGTACTTAATTCTATATAAAATTCGTAGCGGGATAATAGGAAACAGTAGAAAAAGGTACAGCAGAGGTCCACCGCAGATTTATTAAAGATTTCCTGACAGCTCATTCCCCATCCCAATCTCCAATAAATCCCGATTCGTACCAACAGCTTTTAAGTAAGATATCCAATCGCCTATAATATTGCATGTAGCAAGCAAGAAGTGAGAGCAACTCTCGGCAAGGATACCACTCAGCGGGATAGAAACGTTCGTGACAGAAATCAGTAATTCCGACGTGCAAGGCACAGGACTTTATTCAGTAACTATCCTTACGTTTGTTCGATTTCCTGATACTACCAACTAAAATAATGGGTCAGTAAAGGACATCCCATGTAATTTATCCAAATCCAAACCTCTTGCAGTATTTATGTCTAGGTTAGTTAAGTATAACTCCGGTGTATTGATAATGTATTATCTGCGGGTGAGCTGCCGAGTGATAAAGCATGATGCGTAAACGTAATCAGTGGCACGACAAAATAATTAGTAGCCGCATTTCACGCCTCGCTCTTAAGCGAACAGATCTTTTATCCAATCCGGCGCCATAGGTGTATAATATACCGGCAATTGATAGGCACATGTGAAGTTATTGCCATCGCTGCTCTCTGTTGGCTTCGGCGCCGAGGCTTGATAATCAATCGTAGAAGTTGATAAAAGACGGTCCCCTGTCTACCCAACGGTTTATTATGATAGCAGGATCCTATATGAGAGGGGCGATCATAGGTATTACCGCCGTATAAATGTCCCAAGTGTAAGCAAACCCCAAACATCGCTTGCTGAATCTGTAGCAAAGTCCGTTGCGGTTGATTAGTTACAATATTGGTTAGGCGTTGTATTGTCTGTATTTAGATTAACAAGTAAGCCACTGCTATCATGTAAATAAGCACGTGTACCCCAACGTACTCGGCCAAGGTTCACGATATTTACACGGAGGCCGCCGCCTTCCTATAAAAGTATGATTTCAACTCTCAACTCAATGAAGCGAAACTGAATACCGCAGAGGGTTGAAGCAACTTAGTACGTCGCCGGCCCGCGTGCCCAGCGCTATCATAGCCAAAGGTCAATACCATAAATACTCGGTGCCAAGTTCCAAGAAGTTTCAGACGTTTCCCAGGGAGATTATGTAAGTCAAAGGGCTGCACTAAACCGGAAGGTACAAAAGGACGTTTTGGAGATCCCCGGCTATCATGGGTTCGTTGGCTCGGAGGTACGATAAGGTTCTTTTTTATCTCGATAATAAGAGATTGCGGGGCGAGATCAGACTAAATGGAAGGCGCCCTAGGTCAAACAAATCTACCGTTGTTACTATCGACCTGATTGGTGAACCTCCACACCCACTACTAATGTTAAATAACTTCTAATTCAAAAGCCCAGGGGCAACAACTCTGTTTGGACGTCATACCTTTCCCTTTTGCAGAAGGTGGAAATAACCTTACTTGTCGGAACCAAGCGGACCCGAGATTCCTAAGGCTACTGATAGTAATAATTATGCAGGTCGCCTTAGCGGATCGAGGCGAAAACCGTGGCGGGTTTAGTGAGTTGAATCGTAAAGTACTGTACCTTAAAGTACCCCAGTATCTGATAACGAGAGCCTGTAAAATATACCACGAGCGCAAGAACGTAATGACTCCCCTGACTCGAGTAAGGGGACATCCTTGATGTTTCACGGAAAAGGAAGGAGCAGCAATAGTGAATAGAGATAGCCAATTGGGGTTGAGAGATCGATCATGATCTGCAACAGAAAGACAGCTCTAAGATGCTAGAGCTGAAGATATTATTCTCGTGAGCATGAATTCAGTTCTATAAAGGCTCATGAACCTCTCTCCATTGTCTGATTCTCCAAGTTGACTTTCTCACTAGCAACTCACTTAATTCGTATTCACCATTTACATACTCAACCATGAAGCTCACCGCAGTAGCCCTCTTCGTTATGGCCGCCCTCGCAGCCCCTACGCTCGAGAAGCGAACTCCTCCCAATATTCCCACTGCCGCTTCCGCAAAGACCATGCTTGCCGCTCTCACCACAAGGACCACAGATGCCACCGGTTACTCCCGTGATCTCTTCCCGCATTGGATTACCCAGAGCGGATCTTGCAAGTAAGGCGTCTGGTAATCATTCAAAAACCCAATTACTGATAACAGAACAGCACTCGTGAGGTAGTTCTCGCCCGTGACGGATCCAACGTAGTCCAGGCCAGCGACTGTTCAGCCTCAAGCGGGACCTGGTTCTCGCCCTACGACGGTGCGACCTGGACCGCCGCTTCTGATCTTGTAAGTTTTCATTACCACATCTGGCTTGATATCTGCATGACATAGGCATTAACACATCTACCGCAGGACATCGACCATGTTGTGCCACTCTCCAATGCCTGGAAGTCGGGAGCCAACGCCTGGACGACAGCCAAACGTCAGTCCTTTGCCAATGATCTCACGAATCCACAACTGATTGCTGTAAGTTCTTAATCTTTTACTGCCTCGAGGAAATATAAACTGACGGTGTGGCACAGGTCACCGATAATGTGAACCAGGCGAAGGGTGATAAGTCGCCTGATGCGTGGAAGCCACCTCTTAGTAAGTAGTCCCATCTCCTTTGAGCTGAGGAAGAAGAAGTGAACCTAATATTTGTTTTCAGCATCTTACTACTGCACCTATGCAAGGATGTGGGTTAAGGTGAAGAGTGTGTGGGCATTGTCTGTGACTTCAGCTGAGAGGACAGCATTGACGAGTATGTTGAACACGTGCTGATGCTTTTTGCTTTTTGGGAGATGAGATGCATGTGTGTGGAGGATAACAAATATGGGAATCAATAAATGAAACTTACCTTTATTCTCAATTGTTTTAATCGTGTGACCTGATCTATGTACCTGTAACTACAACACATGGTTGCCTGGGAACGAGTCGGCCTAATAAGCCCCATCTATTCTATAGATGTCGTTGAGGGCCAGTTGAGTAAGGCGGCGTTTTAAAAGAAGGTTAATATAATGATGTGAGCCGGATGATGAAAGTTAAGTTTGGGTCATAAGAAGGTGATGGGAGGCCGGATTGAAACAAAGCACTTATAGGTTCATGTCATTCGCTGGGCCTGGGTACATCGAAGTCTCGCGAGGATTTTATTCACCACCGCGTACCAGTCTAGAGTAAGGAGATCTAGAGACTAAATGTAATCAACTAAAAGCAATTATTCGGTAGATACGTCATCACCAATACCAATTCCATGTATCATGTAGGTAAAGCGCTTATCTTCACCTTCCCAAATTAACCTCACACTTCTTCGTTTAGGTGGTACAAAGAAAACATGGGGCGCATACATCACACACAATCACTCACTGAAGTGACATCTACATAACTGTCCGAGGAGATACACAAGAAGATGTACTTATTTACAGGTGTAACATTATAACACGGGTGTAGGGGTGAGTTTGGAGCCCAGATTGTTGATTCTCTGCACATGCAGCACAAGCGACGATTGTAAAGACCTGAAAACAAGACTACGGGAATATGTACAGCCACTCTGCAAAAGTGTTCGTGATTCCGATTTCGGAGTGAGACATTTCTTCATATGTAACCGTGGCGGACCATCAAAACCCCCAATAGAAGACTTTCCTAGTGACCAATGGCGCCCGAAATCAATGTTGAAGGTGATTAATGACCTACTTTCTTTTATATACAGTCACGAACTATATTATCTATTTTTCGTTGTTTTGAATCTCAACATTAATAACATCAACTCCACGGGTGCGCCACACTGCGCACTGACATTAAAACTAAATCACGAACACTTTTGCAGAGTGGCTGTATATGCACGATGCTCTATCTTTCAACCGCGAATTTGGAAGGCTCGAGCCGTACTATGAGCCTACATGTATGTACATGTACCTTATACCACGAGGTGGCGGCGGGAATACTAGTTTTACATATGTAAAACGCAACCGAGTGATTTATTATGATTTCTGTGAAGGACGCATACGCTTGATAGACATGATCTACTATATTAAACTTAAAGTTCTTAATTTATAGACGTCAACGATACTCCCACTCACGAAAGACTTCCTAACAACGCATATCATCTTAGCATAGGTTTAGGGTTATGTTAAAAGTTAGTACTGAATCAGCGTAACCTAGCTATAGTGGAGAACAAGATTCCTTTCATCACCAAAAATCCACAATTGAAAGCACAATAAATTTATTTCTACCAATCTAAATCTAATCTATGCGGGTTCGTATTAATTATGTCTAATCTTTATGCTGACTACTAGCCCGTTCCACCAATTTCATGACCTTTTACTAAATACCCAAGTACTATATTAGAGATTGGTGTAAAACAAACTGGACGATGATTGATGTAGGTTCTCAGGAAAAATCAGATCCCGAGACTGCCACTAGTTGGCTACTTTGTAATACTATATGTATGTACATATGCATGTAGTCTCTTACGGGACATACATTATCACTCGCATTTTATGGTCTCGACACTAGATTATTGGAACTGCAAAAACAAGCGCTGAGCCCGCACCGGACGATAGTTCTAGAAGAATAGTGCTCGCAGGTAAAATCTACCCGAAGGGTGATAACAAGTACTAATAAAACCGATGATCTCGGTTTGCTACCGCCTGTATATAAGATAAAAGTAAAATTTCTGTACGTACGCGGCTTGTCAATTGTATGGTCGCAAAGTATTATTCGAGGAAGTTTCTGGATGGCACGTGTACTTGTTCGCGAATGCCGAACAGTAGAATCAGATTGGATCACGAAATGTCACTCGGTCGATCTTTGGGACGAGTGAGGCACCGAGTTCTAGCTTCCGGAATAAGGAGGATAGGACATATGTGGTGATACGGTACAAGTTATTTATAAGTATGTTAAGAATAATTTATTAGCTTTTTTCGCCGCCTTTGATCTGTCCCGCCTTAGTAACGGGGTACAAAGACGCTCATGTTGACATGATGTGTGTTCTTTCTAATTTGTCATAAAACGAGCCCACGTCTAAGCTTTTTATTTAATTGAAATACAATACTTCTCCTGGCCCTGGAAAAGAATTGCACTATATGCATCATAGAATATCACTCATTTTCTTGGGAATTTGACGTTCTAACCACTTTATCCATTTTTTTCATATCATTTTCGCGAAACCTTATCAACTTGGGGGTCCTGTTAAAGTATGTGCAAAAGTGTATCTTATGCCATTCATATATATCCGTGCATATATAGAGTAATGAATTGTACTTACCGCAATTCATCACGCTGTAAAAACCTTTTCCTCCTACTCACCTCACACTCCGGACCCACTACAATTGATTCTGGCATGAGGGATATATAAGAAGACAAACTCTATAAGGCACTGACATGTATATCGCTCGGTGAAATAAACTTATAACACCCCTGCCGTACAGAATTCCTATCGGTGTAGGCCTACCTCTTTCGGGACTCGACGCGCGTTGTGCGCCTCATCTAGTACACGCGCACACCATATGGTATGGGTGGCTGGAAAAATTGGTGAGCGATAGACAACCTGTGACTTCTTTAAGAAATATGACCGGTTAGATTGAGCCTGAGAAAGCCGCCTCGCCATGGGGATAGGTGAGGGAGATCTATCACCGCCTAAGTTGAGTATTTAGGGGCGCTAGCCACGTTAGACTTAACATTCCGAGCAAGAAGCATCATACGCATATACTTCTAGGAGAGTAAAGTGATTGAGTTTTTTTTATTGTTTCTTACCCCGGTCAAAGTTTGTTGCTCTTGAAGATTTGTTCACACTGCTGAACTCGGCGTTCTCGTGTGGGGAGGGCGAAACAGGTTTCAAGGGGTGGGATGGCCTTACTACATGTACTTAAGTTTCGGTAAATGCGGGACCTTCCGCTAAGCCCATTAGAGGGTGTGTGCGTAACACACTGCGTCGCAGGTTTGCATACGTACTTCGAGGTAGAATACGTGCAAAGTCACTTATCTGGTGAGGAGAAAAACAGCTGAGACCTCAACTACACAGAGGGGCCAAATTAAGTGATCACTGTGTGAGATGATACACTTTCCACCCTTCACTCAGGCCATACCATCATCAAAGCTTCTGTTGGTGGCTAATCCTCAAAAAAATGGATATAAAAGGATCCGCAATACTTCGGGAGAGTTTCAGGAGTCCCTCCGCGATCCGGTACTTGACATTCCTCCACAATTGACGAGCTTGGCTCTGTATGGGGGCTAAGACAATATATCATAGCTTAATCTGACCCCAAACGAACCATGCGTCTTTCCTTAAGATACTAGGGTCATGGTCATACTGGAAGGCTTGTTGCCTCATCATATCACGAATGATTGATTGCCCGCATATGCCATATGCCGAAAACCTGGAATATCCCGTACCGGGTATGGGACTGGGTGAGCATGAGGTCTTTGATTCGTGGCCTACAGGGCCGACAATACCATAACTCTCTCGGTGAGAGTTTTTGTCTGGGCATGTAAAGTGGATGGTGGTAAGGAAGAAGGTATGTAGGCTATGATTCAATATTCCCAGACGCTCTTACCTGTAGCTGTGAATGTAGGCAGTTCTCCTGTTGAATCTAGGAGGGTAATGCTAACAACTATCCTCAGTATATTCAGCTTCCCCGCGAATCGCCTTTTTCATACCACCACACTCACTATGATAAATCTTCGCCTAATTCTATCGGCCATAATTCACAACTGGTCAGGACAGATCTTTACCACAATCAACATGCTGTTTCCAAAGAATTAAGGTGGTGACGGTCTAACCTGCATTACAAACACGGATGTTGGTCATTGGCACCCACCTCATAATGAAGCAACACATTTGTAACGAATCCAGGAAAACATATAACCGTACCTTGCCTACCATCGACTTTTCCCCCACCTCGCTCTGCCTTAATATTTCCCCCGCTTAAGACGAAGCTACTAATATAAAAAGTGGGGAGAGAGATAATCATTACCTGGGAGAAACAGAAGTCGAACAGAAACTTCGGAACAAAGTAACTGAGAACCCGTTAACTAAATATGTGCACAGTGCAGCCGGCCCCCATGATATCTGCCAAGTCCATTCTTCGGTAGAGAGTATACCGGCATGGGGATCTTCATTAGCTGTTTCGAGTGGATTACATACTTAGGCCTAACGTCGATCTTGATACTTTAATTCCGTTTCGATGCTCACTGAATATTGACCTCTAAACTGTGGTTGGATTCCATAACTGGGTTTCATTTTTCGATAATTTATAAAAGGGAATTTGACAAACTCTACTCTACACCGTGCCCAGAGATTCTTATTAATAGATGTGCAGATGCACAGGGGCCGGGGTTAAGGAAGGTCAAGTCGGTGGCAGGTATTATTGTGCCTACCGTAAAGTCAATATTGTTGTTTTTCTTCTCTAATTCTTCCATTCTTCCATTCTAGTTCCGTCTGAACATGCTGGATGCGTATATGTATACGAGTACCGCTGCGCAGGAAATGGAAATGGACCCGACCCTGGATGGTGGAAATTTTCCGTCCTTTTTCACGGGTTGACACTGAAACGCTGGTGCTAAGAGGCACAGCACCGCACGAAACAGGCCACACCACACCTCATTAATTCTGGAAAGAGTCGAATCTATCATGGTACTCTACTCAAGTTCCCATGGTAGTAAAGAAAACAAGCGCAAGTACCAACTACAGGGGTTAGAATCGCGATGACGAGTCTCGGCGTGTCGCCGGTTTATCCGGGTGAAACAGCGGCCGGGGTGAGAGAAGCAATTTTTCTTTTGAGGGGGAAAGGGTTTTTGGGGTAAGTTAAAGAGGCTCTTATCAAAAACTGCAACTTGTAGGGGTTCTGAATTGAGATTCGACGTCAGAAGTAGAGTAACTAACCCCGTATAAGTTGGGAAACGTCTCGGAGCCAATGCCTGCTTGTTAAAGATAGGAACGCGCGTCCCGACTGACAGACTGACAGAATTATTCTGGAAGTCAGATTCATATACAAATGTAGTTGTTGCGGTTGAAAGGGGAAGAAGGAGAAGATCGACTGGACATGAGAGAGATGCATAATATTATACATACTCCCCATAGGTGAAATACATGTACCTACCTCGGCCAACAGGTATACATGTAATTATTACCTTGCGGGAAAAAAACAAAGAAGGCACATAATATCTCACTCTTGAGAAAAGGAGGAACCCGTTGGACCGACGCAATGGGTACCTAGGATGATCCCGACCGACTACCAGAGGCTGTCTGTCGGCCGGACTGTAGCAAATTTAAAGGGTAGTGTAGCTAGATGGAACCTTCTACCTCGGACTCTGGCCGAGAATTGTCCGTCCATTTTGTGCTGACCAGGCGAAACCAAACTTGGGACATGTTCGGGCAACTAGTTGATATTCGGTGTTCGGGAATCGGTCCAGAAGTGAACCAAGTCCTGATGAACCCAGGAACGAGCGAATGAACTTGCATCGCCGCCCAACACTCCTGAATCCCCACCCTCCCCAGACTTTTGAATGCGCGCGCGTCATGTTGTAGAGGTGTGTGAGTGTAAGTATGTGTGTGTGTGCTTATGTGTTTGTATGTAGAGGTACATACGGATATTGATGCGAGGGCTGTTCATATCACCTAAAAGAAGAAAGTAACCAGATAAATGTTCGGCATGTGCTACCCGTGGAGTGTGTACTCGTCAGCTTGGTCAGGACCAGGGTTATTCCGTCCGCGCACAAGTTACTCCTGGCCTGGATATCGGCCATCCTGTTACAGTGTCGACGTAAAGTACATAGAGTAGAGCAGTTATGGTGTGTCTCGGGAGGGAAAGCTTGTTCACATCCAAGAGTCCATATATATCACTTGTGAATCCCCACCACCACCCACTTTCTGCATTGCCCAGTAATTTTTCGACATAATACAAAACCGTTACATTTCTACTCTTCATTCGCCAACTATTATTTATTTTGCTATATAACTGGATTTATTCTTCTCCTTTTTCTCCATTGTTTTGTTTGCCACTGCAGGGCAGTCAGTACATTTGTCCATTCTACTGTTTGAAGGAATCTTGCTGCATCGTTCCAACGCTCGTCCTACCCTATAACCACCCAGCAGGTCTTGGACCTTTCGTCCCAACTCCCGTTCAACATTCACGGGGCAACCTTCAACATGACGGGCGCCCAGCGAGCCAAATTATGGCGCCAGCCCGAGGCCGCAGCAGGTGCTCTCTACACTCGCCTCGCATCGAAGCGGAACTTCGCACGAGTATTCATCACACTGGCATTTTGCGCTATCTTCTACAACTTCTACTCATCATCCGAGCTACGGAAGAGCCTCAACGACAGGCTGCAGCAGACAATGTCTGCGAGCCCAAGTATTCAGGTTGTGGAGCAGACGGAGCCGAATATGCAGATGTGCTCGAACGAGCCGACTCTTGAGAGCAATAACGGGACGGAGAAGGCGACGCTGGTCATGTTGGTGCGTAACAGGGAGATAAGGGAGGCGTTGAGCAGTATGAGGAGTGTGGAGGATCGGTTCAATCGGAAGTTCCACTATCCGTGGACTTTCTTGAACGATAAGCCGTTTACGAAGGATGTGAGTGCTCGTTCTGTTCCACTGTTGTCCTGCCAAGACAGTTTACTGATGGTGAACACAACAGTTTATCGAATATACGACCGGAATGGCGAGTGGCCCAGTTGAATACCAGGTTATTCCGAAGGAGGCCTGGTCGATCCCGAAGACCATCAATACAACTATTGTCAAGCAGGAGATGGCCGAAATGACTAGACAGAATATTATTTATGGCGGTTCTCTGTCTTATCGCCACATGTGCCGCTTCAACTCAGGTAACCTCCCCCGAATTTGTCGAGATCTAGAAATAGGGGACTAACACAGGAGAACAGGGTTTTTCTACAACATGGAGGTTATGAAGAAATATGACTGGTACTGGCGTGTCGAGCCGGGTATTGAGCTCTACTGCGACATTGAATAGTAAGTGAACTAGTTTAGTAATAGTAATATTTCAAAGCATTGCAATTTACTGACGTCATGTTGTGGCACAGCGACCCCTTCACCTTTATGCGCACCAACAATAAGATCTACGGCTTCGTCATCACCATGTACGAATTCGAAGCCACAATCAAGACACTTTGGTCTCGGACCAAGGAGTTTATCCGTCGCAACCCCCAGTACTTGCATGAAAACAACTCGCTCGACTTCCTCGTTGACGGAGCAAAGGCATCAAAGAAAGACGATAAGGAAATCGATGGCAACTACAACCTTTGCCATTTCTGGAGCAATTTTGAAATTGCTTCGCTCAACTTTTATAGGTCCGAGGCGTACACCAAATATTTCGAGTTCCTTGATAGCGCTGGTGGGTTCTTCTACGAGAGATGGGGCGATGCACCAGTTCATTCGTTAGGCGTGGGATTGTTTGCGCCTAAGGATAAGATCCACCATTTCGCGGACTTTGGATACTCGCATCCGCCATGCTCAAGGTGTCCACAGGACGACGAGAGCCACAAGTCCGGGCGTTGCTACTGCAACAGGGCGGTCAACTTTGATACCAACTCATACAGTTGTATGCCAAGGTGGTGGGATGGTACGTTGAACTCCATTGACAACTTATCTGGGACCTTGTACTAACTGGGTTTTTTTTTAGTTGCCGGTATCAACAAAGGTGCTAAGCGCCTTGGTACCTAACCACGCCCGTGCAGGGCTGGCATCCGCATTAGCGGTTTCTCTTGTCTTAATTTTCTTATTTCCGCATCTGCCCATCTCGGTACATAATTAATTTTCATTTGTAAGTCTTATGGTGTTTGGGAGGCGTTGTTGTTTTTATTGATTTGCTTTGTACAAAACTGCTTTTTCTTATTGGGCCATCGGTCGGGATGGACAGGAAATTGGACTAGTTGATGGAATAAAAGGAGTTGGAATCTTTTATTATGTTGGACAATGGAATGTGGGGGAAGATGCCCGGGGGTGGAATTCTGTATAAAATACTACCGAGATGAGATGAATTGAGCTATGGAATACTAGCAAAATATTTGGTTGAGAATGTGCATGGTTTTTGGAGATGGTACAATTGGATGAGTAATGCACTGAGACAGGTGTCATCTAAAATGTTCGAGTAGGTGACTTGACGTCCGCGTGAGATTTCATGAGCCATGAACCTCAAAGAAAGATACTTGGGCTATAAATAACAAACTCAACCACAAACCATGCTAAGCACAAAATACCTATCCTTAGTCTCAATATCTGTACCACAGAATCTGCAAATTTTTTATCTAAAACCCGTTAATCAAAATCCTCATTGAGTGATCGATCCTACAAGATGCTTACAGTACCAACAAAAGCAGGGCGATTTCAAGAAGAACCATATACCTACCAGAAGAGAACATGGTGGTCAAATTTATGTATCTCAATGGATACAGCTTCTGTTGATCGAATGGCTGCGATGATATAAGTCAAGGCCCTTTGCCAGTAGGTAACCACTCATTCCTGTCCAGCACATATAAGTATAAGCTGTGTACACCTTTTCAATCAATAAAGCAAGATCGGCAATCATTAATTCCATGGCTGCAGCAAAGATTTTCGATGGTTTCTGTATTTCAATGGTTGGATCCCTCCCTTCGTCTGGGTTTACACGCAAACGTACTAGCCAGAGTAAGTCGAAGCAAATAGCTACTAAAAGAACCCATATTAACACATGATACAAGCGAGCTTGATTGATATGATTACCAGCAATGGTGGGACTTTCAGCAGCCCGTACATAGGAAACAAAATTTTGGGGAACCCTAGCCCTACGCATCTGATTTGTAGCGAGGACATATAAAATAAAGCAACAATCAAAAGAGGTAAATAGGCGAGGAGAAGCGTTGATGGTTTAAATTTCTTGATACTTACTGCAGAAAAAAATCCAGTCGCATCCGCAAAGGAATCGGGAACCATCAAGATTGTTCATATCCGCTGGCTCCTGGACTCAATAAGGAGGGGAAAGGCATTGGTTGAGGAGACCTATCAATTCGGAGAAATTAAAGGCATTCAAAACGCGCTTATACGAGAGTTAATCTTTGAAGATCCTGGGTGGAGAAAACGTAGTAAGTTCAGGAATGCTTTCATAGTAGCTAGTAGGTATTTTGCCTATAGTGTACTGACCTGAGACCAAGCTATCGCTGGGTCATCTATTTACAGTGATCCAGAAAGCGGTCTTCGGTATGAAGAACGGCTTTCTAGGCTTGAGGAGGCGTCAGAAGATACCAAGAAAACTGCTGCTGCTTCTCAAGTAGTTACTATGGTTAATCTCTTCTAATTCTATCCAAGAAATTTGAGGATACCACTAACTCGGGGACGCTAATAAGATACGGATATGGAAATCTAGCATACCTCATTCGAGTGGTCAATCATATGCACTCTTAAGTACATATAGTGATAACGACATTAGCACTAATGTGACACATCAGTACACCATCGCTGGCAAGTGCCCTGAAGCGACCTTATGCATTCTTATTGATGTCTACAAGTCAGAAATAAAGAAAATTCAAGAAGAAGGGCACCAAACTATGGGCCCTGAAAGTGTCGACGAGCCAGAGCATACTCCCGCAACATTATTAGCCAGAGATGCTTTCTATAACCTAGTAAAGTATATTGCGGGCTCTACAACAGTGTATGTTACCTTGGATATTATTTTCAGATTCTCCCCATTATATCCGAAAGTTGCTTTAAATTTGATGCTAATATTTTGGGAAGTCCTGAAAACCATCTAGGCGCTAAATCGTTAGTCACACCTTCTATGGAAAGCGAGAAATCCAAGATCAATCTTACTATAAATGGTCATGATGACACCCTCAGGGGATATTTAAAATTAGTAGCATTGAAAGATATGACATACGGTATGATAGTTTCTAAAATTGGACACCAGTAACGATTTAAAGCAAAAGTTTCTGACAGACAAGCATGCAGTTCACAAAAGCGCAGAGGACTATAATTTGATTCATGAGTACTTTAAAGGTAGCGGTGGATTGACCGCAATCCCTAACTGGAACGTGCAGATTTTTCGAATCGTGAGGCAAAACGAAGAAGAAGACTGGAATACAAAAGGATGGGGTAAACTAACTGGCATCAATGATAACCGGCGTTTACTATGGCATGGGACACCTATAGGAAATATACAGTCTATCCTCAAAAATGGGCTCCAGGACCCAGATCATTTGGGGGGGGGGGGGGGGGGGGGGGTTTACTTCGCGAACAGAGCTGAAATTAGGTGAGTTTATTACAAAAATCCGTTTCTTAAGGTATTTGGATTGATACTGATTTAACCAAGTTACGGTTATTGCCGAGTTCACGCAGCCGTGAGTTTTCCATGTTCTTCCTGTTACATGCAATACTAATGCGATGGGTACGTCGACCTGTGCCGTTAATTCTAGGGTCTCCCTTTTGTTATGTTTCTCTGTGAAGTACAATTGGGCTATATGGGGAGCAGAAAACCTTTCCATGGAAGGTTCGGGTATTATAATACAGCTGTGGACGAAAGAACTAGCCTGGAGTGGAGTAATTCTAAATCGATTCACGAAGAGCTTGATGGTGTACTTGTGGTTTGTCTCTAGTCTAACCAATCAATATTCACGTTATCCATGGTTAACCTATGTCATTTATTTTAGCCGAAGTTCACTGGATCACCTATATGTGCTGGGAACATGTACAGCGAGTGGATCGCTCTTAACCCATCCCAAGTCAGACATCGTTACCTCGTTGTGTGCGAACCTTAGATGTGTCCTGGAGCATCTTATACTACTGGCCGTCTATAGATCTAGAAATCACTACTATCTAGTTAGTATCATCACCATAATGGAGAAAATTCACAAGACATCATTTATACTAATCAGTAACTCATCTCCTGAGCACAGCCCCTCTCTGACAAAGAATTCAGTTCTGATGTCACCCTGCCTAAAGCTATAAGTAAGTAGAGCTCTGATATCAATTGACTCTTGTTACTAAAGTAATCTCAATGTCACCCATTCTGTGTGGCTTGTGAGACAACCCAATTGCGCAATAAACCAAGCTAGTGATCACAGGACAGCATGTGTGTATGTACCATGCCAATGACCGACATATCTACCAAGATACCCCTCTCGAAATAGACATAACCAATATGACCTCTTCAAAGTTTACAATCAACGACACTTATCCATTATGGAGCCAGGTGGATGACCAAGGAATAATCATAATCAACTCTGTGACGCCAGAAACCAGGCGATTGGAGAGGAAGGGGGGGGGCAGTGATTAAAAGAGGTCTCAGAATAGGTAAAGTTGCAAGGCGGCGTCGCGTTAATGTAGGTACCCCCGTGAGGCTCTTGACGGAGGGTGTGCCGGGGTGGTACATAGCGCCGTATCTAGGTACTCTACATGTCCATAGAGTGAGTGGAATAGACTCACATGCATCCATCCTGATGGGCGGGCAAATAAGCTTGTCGCGATCGTGCAGTGACACACAAAGTGCTGCTCACTGCACTTGCACACGGTGCATATGCGGCGAGGTGGAAAAAAAAGTAACCAAGGCCCCCGTACGGTACGTATTGAATCCACGAGATAAAGTAACAGATTAATTAGTGTAGAGTAGATGGAGAGCTAGAGGCATTTATATAGTTCCGTTCACCCCCCCGCATCTTGTCTCGTTTCTTTTCCCTTGAATTCAACTCCTTCCTCCTAGCTTAGCTACAGTATAGTACTCTACATACTCCTCCGGCGGAAACCAAAGACTCGATCTAGCCATCTACATATCCCCACATCTTCACATCTCCATATCTCTACAATCTACGATAATGTCCGCCCCCCAAGCATCCTTCATCCCCCTCCTCATCGTCGCCATGGTAACATGGAAGATCTCCTACTCCAAAAAGACCTCAAAGTTCACCGGCGCATCCCAAAGCATGCGCTCCGCCAGCTCCCGCAGCTTCAACAACAACAAGAACATCAAAAGCGAGCCAACCTCGTCTGCAATCTCGGAGCGGCTGTATGCGCGCAGTAAGTCTTCTCTTCTTCTTATTTTTCAATTGGCGCAGCTCAGGTGGATGGATCTGATGCTAACGATCCCGCAGATGTGAAGCAGGCCAGACCCGTGGGAAAGAGCAGCAGGAGCTCGCTGTCGAATGCGAAGCGCATCCTTAACAAGTCGGAGAGTGGGCATGGCGCGGCGTTGGCGAGGGCTGAGGAGCGCGAGAAGCGGGACCGAAGGACTTAGTTTGGCTAGCTTGGTGGTGCTCGGAACGGGCCGGGCGGGGTTGTTGTTTCGTTTGGTTTGGCTGTTGGTTCGCCACACTTTATTTTTACTGGCGGTGGGCGGCGAGGGTCTTGGAGGTTGCGTTGAGATCGCGAGATGCACTTTGCGATTAAAGTGAAGTTACTATGCAGTTTTTGTTTCTTTTTTTTATACCTTATTCTTTTCTTTTTTTCTTGTGGGATATGGGTTTTTTGTTTGTTGCTGTGGAGTTTTGGGTGTTTTTTTCCTGTTTTTTTCTTTTCCTTTTCGCATTGGGATTTATCTAGGCATGAGACGTGAGATGTGCACTGTATATGATCGAGTCGGCCTATGAGTGTCAAGTGTTGACGCGCGTATGAGATATATGTAGCTTTGTTCGCATTCAATGAGTAACAAGTTCAAACCAGAATATTATGGTCTTTATCCTATGTGACCGGATGATATCGCAGTTGGTTGCACAGCATGAAATATGCTTCACGGCTCTAGAGCACTCTACTTTAGATCTGTGACACTCCAGCCTGCGTATGCATCTGGGACATGACTGCATCCACACACACACATCTATTTTGTCGTCCAGCAGACAGGAAGGAGCTCTCCAAAACCTTAAATTTCCAGCATATCAACCTCCGAAGAGCTACTCTCCCGCCTCCCCGACGACAATCTCTCTAGCTTCGTACACACCCAGGTTGAAGCATACATATTGACCCTATTAATCCAATCATTAGACAAACTCATGCGCGCTAACAGTGAATTGAAAGAAAAAACTAATATATACCTGTCGATATAGGCTCCTGGATGTCTAGCCATGACCTGCTTGGCCTTGAATCCCTCCTCCTCAAACACCCTGATATACCACGGCCGCAAACCGGCACTGCGGAGAAGAACACGGCCTCCCAGCTTCATCGAGTTGTTCAAAGCTTTGATTTGCTATAGTTTGGCAGGTCAGCTAAAAGTCGGTTGAAGAGGCGAGATGAAAAATGCATACCCTTTGTGCTTCGATGCCGTCGGTATCAAACCAATCCATGGAGTCCATTATTACTGCGATGGTCAAGGTTTCCGATTGTAGTCTACCTAATACCTCTCTGATCTCGTCGGTGTGGATTCTTACTCCATCAAATGCATGCGGTTTTGATAGCTTGGTGTGGCCTTTCTCAGTCAGGTACGAAGGGTGGCATCTATCAATAACTGGTTAGTTCGATCATTTCTTTGACACTGTTTGTCATCCTACTTACCTCTTTGTATAAAATCCCTTCAAGCACAATAGATAAAAGTAATTATCCTCCCCCAACAAACTCTGATCTACTACTGGATCTAATGTATTTACCACATAGTCCCACATTGCCTGTGCGTGATCACCACCTTCATGATCCTCCCTGATCATATCTCTCTGGTTCGGCGGTACGCCCAGCGCCCGCCACAGAAACTGTTCATTCCCGATTATGAACTTACTGACCCATCTAGACAACATCACTGGCCTCACTTCGCCCTGCCAAATCTCTCGCTGCTCATTCATGGTTCTAGCCTCACACATCCTCTTTACACTTCCTGCCACGCCGCAGCACCGAAACAGCCATCTCGCCGCTTTTATCGCAAGTCGTGACTGGCCAGTCTCATACAGTCCAATACTTTTTGAAAACACTGCCCGGTTATCCCACCAATACTGAAAAGCTCTTGACGACAGATGTGGGCTTAGCTTCTCCATCAATATTGTTGAGAATTTCTCATGGTGTCCCTCGCCAAACATCTTCCAGAGATCTTTGTGGTCGAGTGAAGAACTAAAGGCCGCGAGCTTGAGTTCGAGTAGGTGGTTCTGTGTGGGATTGAGATCAACAGCGTGGACACGCTTTGGCGCACCGTCGATGATATAAGAGAGAATATTATCACCTGCCGAGGTGATGGCGAGGATCACATCGTCACGGTTGATCTTGAGGATGCGATGATCAACCCGTGGGTCTTCCCATGTGAAAGCATAGATATAAGAGTTGTTGAACTGGGTGTGTTTTTCCAGCATTTCATCATAGTAAAGTCGCCAGTGGTGGTTCTGGTAGAAGAAGCTGGGTAATGGTAGGTTTGCGGCGAGGTTAAGGACAGCGGCTTCAAAGCCTTTCGAGCGGAGTTGGAGAGCTGTTTCAGCGGAGGTTTTTGAGGAGTGAGTTCGCGAGAGGGAATTGATGGCGGCAAGGTATGGTGATTCTGTGGCGGCGGCATCGACACGATCAAGGACATCCGCTGCAGAGTGGAGCTTTTGACATCCGATCCAGACGTAGTATGGAATTCCCCCGAGGAGGCGGTTTCTGTGCGCGCGTTAAAATATTATCTTTGAACGGGAGGTGGGTTATCTCATACCGGCCATTAACGTTGAGAAGAGTCCCGAATTTGTACTCCATATAATCTCGTCTTCCCTCATCAAGGTTGACTCTATCAAACTCAAACCATATCCTCCAAAATTGTCTAGAGAACCAATTGACATGACGGTCCCAGGAACCTCCCGTAAAAGTTCTTTCCGAAAAGGTTGTTGAGGATTGCACGTAGAAGTCTGCAATACTAATGAGTCCTGTCGGTGACAGTAGTGTTGAAAGAGAATCCACGACGGAGTAGAAGCTTTCAATTAATATCTGTCAGTTGTCGTACTAGTGGATTGAAGATTACTTTATAGAGAGCTTACTCGGGGATCATGGAAAGCGAGTAGCTCATGCTAATCCAATCGACTTTTCGGTCTTCAAGGCTAAAACCGCGAGCATCCATACACAAGACCTCTACATTCTTCCACCCTAGCCTTCTGAACCGTTGGCGAGCCTGTTCACACAAGCTTGGAGAAAGATCAACAAGATAGACCTTCTCAAAGAACTGTTGGACTGGGAGGAATTTGTTGAGAAGTTCAATGTTATATCTAGTCATTACGCTACTAGTCAGTATGAAGGGAAGCTTTGCCGGGAAAAAGATATCACCAACCCGGTACCACCTCCAATATCAACCCAAACTCTCCCTTCCGTGGATCCAGACTCTTTTTTCTTCTGGGTCCTCAGCTTCAATTGCGCAGCAGCTAGTGCCAACATCTCCTCTCGGCCCCTAAGAAGCTGCCCTCTTGTCGCATCATAGATCGCAGCCTGCCCTTTATAAAAACTTTCGAGAGAATCCTGTTGTTTAACGGAGGTGACCTTTCCAGAAAAGGGTTTCAGAAAGCAGTTGTAGAAGAAAATTGCGTAGGGTTTGCCGTGATTCAAGATAAAGTAAAGGAGAATTGAAGAAGCTATCACAAAGCTGACGAGCACGAAGAGCTCGATGTCTAGCGGTGTAAACATCTTTGCTGATAATTAAGATACTAGGTGCTCCTGATAACAAAACCACAGATACAAATTCGAATGTCAGTGCACTGGCAGATATATACTAACGTGAGTGGCTATCAAAGTACCTATAGCTACCCCGCTCCTCTACTCATTGAGTCCATTATTTTGCTCATCATACCGGTACTTCTAAGTCTGTAGCTAACAGATCTCAATTGTCTGTACATCGCCAGTCGCACTGATATCTCGGTAGCCGCCCTGCGTCGTTGTAACAACCGAGCCAATCACGAGCTGGCGTACTGGAGCGTGGTAGACCCAAAACGGGTTTTCGGTACCTAGCAACCACAGGGCATGCCATGTATTTCAGAGTTGATTGGCTTAACCCATTAACGTCGTCAAACAGGCTCCAAAGGTTCAGAAACCACTTGCACGGGCCACATGCTTTCCTGACTGGACGCGAGAAGGTACCCTCCCCATGTAACTCTAAATTTTCTCGCAGATCGAAGGGAGGAACCGGCTTGAATTCAAGGATCGATGTGCTTCGGGAGGTAACGGTAACGAACTCATGTGATAGAGAGGCTCCCTAACTAGAGTAGAAAGCAGTGTTGCTACCTTTAGTCTCCATATCTCCGTGTAACAAAACTCATTGACAAACCCACTGCGCTGATCACAAAGCCATCAATCAATCGTATTTGTGAGGGTAAAGCTGTCTCTTCAACATAAGCTAGTGGACGAGTGATGAGCTCATGTTATGTTACGCTGATTGCGCTTTTACTAATGCGTTTTTTTAGAGCTACCGTTAGCTATCTTTAAGAAACAGATTAACAGTCAGCTTTCTTTAAACCAAACATCGATTCATTAAAGTCTACATGTAGTCAGTTGGTTAATGGCAGTCGTGTTTAGCCCTGGATGGCAACACAGCGATTCCGCCTCGAGATAGAAGAGCTTTTGTCGACTTTTAACGGAATTTTTTTTGTCTAAGTAATAAGCGAGAGCTCTGCCGATGAACTTTGGGAAGCTGCTTAAGATATGAGGTTGAAGGTGGAGAGTCGTCATCATGACAGATATTATATATTCGTAGTTTCTTATTTGGACAGCTTGCATTTATGGTGATATAATAACGAACGGATAGAAATATATAGATAACATGATATTATACGCATTAGCTTACCCTTAAGCTGGCCAGAGAGCATGGTGTTAGACTGGCACATTTGGTTATCACCTATTGTGTCGAATTGAGCATATCTGATTTGCCAAGCAAATTCTTTTCAAGTCACCAAAGATCACTCGGAACACTTGATTGTTAAAAAGAACTCCTTGTCCTGCGACTCTTAAGCTTTACCCTCCCATCGTGATGCCAGAAAACAGCATACACAAGACCCAGAGATTGCATCTTTCATTTACTAGTACATAGTGGAGAATCAAATCCGTCTACATTGTGTTTTTTGAGTAGCTGTTGGAGTTCCTTCTTCCACGTCCGCTTTTTCTCATGTCCGCTTTTTCTCATGTCCGCTTTTTCATATTCTCCACCGGCTGATTTGGCTGTTTGGCAGAAAGTTTTCTCGGCGTAATGTCTTCCTTTAAATAAAGCATTCTTTACCATCACTCCCCCAAGCTGCTACTCCCCCATGAGTAATTCCTGATCGACGCAGCTCTCCAGCAATAATGAGGTTAACTCCATTTCTTTTCCCATTCCTCATCTCCGTACTAACAGAACCCCACAGAACTAGAAACTCCAGCAAACAAGCCACGAAAAAGGCTCCTACCCCACCACCCTCCGAGTCCGATCCACAATCCGTTCTGCAACCCGCTTCGCCCGCGGCTCCGTGCTACCTCCCCTTCATCTCGCGGCGCCCCCTGGGCGGGAGTGAAGAAATCAAAGTACCAGACCGTAGACCGTACACGCACTTGCAACTCTGTACACACCTCAACATCCAAGAGAACCTTCTAAAGCGCCTCTTGGACTTCATCGCTAGGTACCTCCCGGACCGCCGCGTGCGCACACTGCACAAAGAGGGTATATGCGAGGCTCTTCGCAAGATCGAGTTCCCGTCAGATTTCGGCACCATCGTGGACAACCCAAAGTACAACAAAGAGCACGTTGGCTTCCTCTTATGGAAGGCCTATATCTTTGCCAGAGAAAGACGTACTACGAGCAACAGAAGAAAGGCCCAATATGCCCGCGAGAAGAGAAAGAAGAATGGGGCTGTGATTCTCCTCAAGAACTAGGTTTGCCATAAAGAAAGTATCGACTTGCTTCGTAAGGAGGTTTCAGAGACTCAGGTGAGGCGCGAGCTGTTCAGAAAGAAGCTGGAAATGATTTCGGAGGCTTTGACGAATTTTAAGAATGACTTTGGCATCACTATTGCGTTGCGTGCTCAGGGGGTGAGGAAGCCGACAACATGGTGGAGTCATTATTTCAGGACCAGACAGAGCTCTCGAATAATATAGTAAGGTTAAAGGATAACCTTAAGATACTCGAGAAGCTAGGTAATGGCGTTAAAAGGTTCAAGAAGTTAAAGAGTGACCAGGAAATGCTTGACGAGTTGGATGGTAATATGAAAAAGCTTGTGCGGGAACATATATTGAAGGAAGAGTACAGCCACTTGCTCGCCTAGAAATCACTCCATGGTGAGCATATATCCCTTGACAAAGCTTTCATCAATATGTATGAAGTTGTGAATTATTGACTGACATACACACCGAATAGGCGTAGGCAATAGTTAAAAAAAAAAATTGATACTAAAATAATAGCACCGCAACTCTTGTAAACCTATTTGCTCAACTTCCGATCATTGCTTTTCTCTAAGAATTGAAACAATCCCACAAAAAAACCGTAAAGCCATGAATATGAATTCCATATGTAGAGCCCAACACCTTGCCAACATATTTTTGATATTGTCGTCTTATGAAGCAGCTTCGTCCATGCCATGGCCAAGTAAATCTCTTCACTACTTAAACCACAAAACAATTCTTATCACCGTCAAGATAGAAATCAGACATTCCATATTGAGTCTGGGGGGAGGTGTACCAAGAAACCAGGAGAATAAGAGTTATCCTATCAAATAAAAAATGTCAGAATTTCGCACTCTTTCGGGGTTTTCGTACACTCTTCCAGGATCCACGCAATGTTTATACAGTGCTTGATATGACTGTAGAAATCCATGTCGTATTTCAATTAAGGCCCCCTTCTTTGGATTACCTTCTTCCTAGGCCTTCCTCAAATTTAAAAAATCTAGTACTTTCCAAACGAATGTCAGAATCTAATGCTAGCATTGGTAGTAACTACTTGTAATCCTAGCCAAATCCAGCTAGCAACCGCCAAGAAATTCAGGCAACCCACCGCCATGAGTGATAACTCATGATTCCCCCAGTGCCGATCAAGAAGCAGGCATCCAATTCATGTAGTAAGATACCAATTCATGTATGTAGTAAGATAGTGAAAAGTATAGCGTTTGGTTTGTGCTATCGCAACGTTGGTCTGCACCTGCTTTCTTCTGAGTCCGCAAGCACAAGCACCAGAAACGGTCAATTGGCCCGATCCAGCCAGGTGCAGGCCAAACACCGCTTTCAGGTCGAACCCGAACACTCTCCCCATAGTAGTTTTGATTTCAGTTTCCAGGGGTAGCACGCGTCAACTCCCAACCCTCACCTCACCCCACACCACCAGCTGTAATCTGGCTGCCTGGATCTATCCCACCACCAACGCCTACTCATAAAGAGAAGAAAAGGCTTACGATAAGAGCTCTCGTCTTCTTCTCCACAACACTCATCCATTGCCATCAACCTCTGCAAAACCACCGGCTGGAAGAAGGTCCACAATTGCAAAGATGACAAACACCACGGGTCGAGAACTAATACGCAAGCTCACCTTCGGTCAATCGCCCATGATCACAGCTCTCTGCGTGGTAAGCCATCTCTAGCTAGTTCTCCATTGCGGGGTGAGTGTTTGCTCATGTTGCTCAATAGCTCTCAACCGTCCTTGTCGCGCTCGCGGCATACTTTTGGTACGTTTCCCTCTCCCCAGCTAGCTTATCTACTCTACCCGCTCGGAACTGACCCAATTGCAGGTCCGTAGTAGAAAAACTCCACGTGCCAATCACCCCCGGGCTCGCCGAAGCCGCAACCTTCCTCCCCGTAGCCAACTTCGCCGCAATGCGCTACCTAACCAACAAGCCGCGCGGCGCCCAGAGCGGGCGGCCCGAATGGGACATCAAGACCGGCGTCGTAAGAGCTCCCCTCACGCGCTCTCCCACCACCTGCTGGAGACTGATAATATGAAAAATGAAACTTAGATCTCGATCCTGCTGATAATTATCGATACCGTTGTCGTGACCCAATCCCTCAACAACATGCCCAAGTCCGCCATCGCCTGCCCGCTCGAACGGACATGGCGGGCCTGGTTCCGCGCCAAGGACGCGACCCACATCAAGGCTGTCCAGGACGCACTGAGGTGCTGCGGGTTCAACACGTATCTTGACTCGGCGTGGCCGTTCCCGGATAAGAATACGCGCCCAAACCAGTGCTCGTTACAGAGTAAGACGCATACGTCGTGCTATGAGCCGTGGAGCCAGAAACACCAGTTGTCGGCCAGCGTGTTTATGGCGGTTGCGGCGGTGACGCTGCTAAGCAAGGTACGGCTGCTGTCTGTGGCGTTTTGGGGTGTTTTATAGCTGACAGTGTGAATTAAGGGGATTATCTTTGTTGCCTACCGTATGAGCAGCAGAAAGCAGAACCAGGCGCCGGCCACGCAGAGGCTGTTGGCGGATGGGTCAATTAATGACGGGCAGCGCAATGGGACAAGCCGTGCTATTGAGGGACTGAGGATTAGGCCTGACGAGAGGGCGAGGGCGCTGGAGAATGAGGAAGATGATATCGAAAGCATTATCGACGAGAACTCGAGGCTGCTGAATAATGGCGAGACTACGTATGAGACGCAGGGGCAGCTGGAGAGTGGTGAGAGACCGATTTTGGCCAACATTGATAATGGCGTATGGGATAATGAGTATAGTCGCGGGAATCCTAGGTAGACGGGGGTGAGCTGTGTTTGATATGGATGCTAGCTACATGTAGATGTAGGGGGATTGACAATGCATATAACCATCGGGTTTGTGTGTCTGCTTTTGTGTTCTGGAAGATTGCAGTTTGGGGGAAGTAGATAACAAAATGTGGGGATAGCTGTACTTCGTGTTGACATATTCCACGGTACATAATCAGTAATGAGAATGTCATTGGGAAATGTGCACTTTGTATATATGTTAGGGCAAATAGAAACTGCTTATCTCTCACCATCCCTCAACCGTCTCCTACACTGTCTTGTGCGGCAATTCGTCTCCGCCTCCTCGCATTGCCATTATAGCCTCGAAGCACCTCGAGGCAAAAAAGCCAGATAATGGTCTTGGAGCTTAGGCTCCTCATCCTCGTATCTCATCTTTCTATACTCCGTTCAGCCGCGGTACTTTATATCCTGTCAGCTAGATCTAGACTCGAGGAGCCTTACTTTGTCGTTCACATATCTGAAGGTACTTACACTGTTTGACAACTAGTTGTGAGGCAGTGTAAAGGTTTTCTAGTCGATAAAGCCAGTATTTGCCGTTGATAAACTGTAGGTCTCAAGGCCGAGGTGGTATCAGATTGAGGATGAAGAGATAGGGTATTTAAGGTGCACTGTCTATCATAGTTGAGCTGGTCGGCCTTTAATATAATTGTACCAGAAGCCAGAAGTCAACAACTAGCAGCCACCAACCAGCACCAACCAATAGTTTCTGGAACAGAGCTACTGATTCTACAAAAGGCCGAGCGAGCTACCTATTTTTCAGGATCCTCCCGGTCCGTGTTTATATACAAAGGACCAATAGCTAGCCACCTAGTACTCATGAAGTGCACATCCTATGCAGTTGCACTTGAGCTAACAGATGACTCTTATATAGCTACACTTTTATTTCCACTTTCTCTCACTCGCTGGTTAGATCACCAAACGCAATCAATTAATTGGCCATCAAGAGCTCACTCCAAGCTCTTGGCTAACTCGCATCTACTACACTTGTAAGTCAAGTCTCGTTTCAAGACTAGCTAGCTGCGCCGCGGTGGCACATAATACGAGGCTGGGGTGTATTTACCCCGGACTGATAGTGGCAGCGACAAGACATCTGCAAGGGGGTGGGGTAGGTATTAAGACATCTGCAAGGGGGTGGGGTAGGTATTAAGCCGCTGAATGTTATGTGAAGCGGGTAGAGGAGAATACGTACCTATATACGTATACAGTGCTTGTCACTGTAGGCATCGGGTTGAGAGGTAAGGAATGTTGCATGGGTTGGCTATGTGGTCGACATGGGAACAACGAACTATGTACATGTAGTAAGTATGGTCTGTTTTCCTTGTCGAGTCGGATGTAGTGTATTATAGACAGACCTTCTGCAAATTGGAAAGGTTTGTGACTTGGGCGCTTTTGAGATTGATACCATGGCATCAGTACTGGGTTTTGAGAATTTGGTGATTTTGTTTTAACCTTAACTACATGTACCTATAGGGTTCTAAGATACTTAATGTAGAGAGTACAGCTAAAGCCGGAGAAGTGAACGTGCATGCCATGGGATGTTCATATGCCATTACGGTTACTACATGTAGTAGGGCATTGCCGTACGGTATTGTTGAACCGTGGCTTGACAGTCTATCCTCAATCATGGCTTATAATGCTAGAGATTCTATTAGTCCTGTTAATGCATTATCATCTTCATTCTCTTCTAATAGCTTGGTTCCGTCGCAGCCATTGGAACGCACAACTAATTCCCGTGAACTCGACTTAAGCTCTCATGAACCACTCTTAACATGACCCGGCGAACATGTATGTACTTAAGTTACAACTCCACAAACTGTTTCTTAATCACTTTCCTCACGAATAGACTCCCACGACGTCCGACTCTGATATTGACAAATCCCCAACCCTGCCGCAACCCTGTCCTGTCGTCAGACTGTCGGCGTAACCCCGGCCCCGAACGAACCCTGCTTGAATCACCATGCAGTTGCAGCGTCCTGATGTTCTTCCGCAGGCACCAACCATGAAGCCGGGGTAGCGAGACTCTCTTGTCCCAGTAAGCTTCCTAGTCACCTACTATACGAGCTTGACGATATCCTGTCTTCTCCAGCGGTGAGGTTTATAATTTACCTAAGGTTAAACAGGAACGGTAGATAGATATATGCCGCCCCAAATCCCAATAGGATAAAGACCCGTCATGAGTAGAGCTAGGTAGAGAGAAGAGAGTCGCAGTTATGGAGTAAGCAGAGCGTCCCCCGGTTGCTTTAATCCTCATACGTCACTATGGATTCCTGAATCCCGGGACATGATTCCCTCTGCATCATCATATCAGGACTGGGAAGGCGAACATCCAGAAGCCGGGAAGGGACGGAGCGCGGGGGGGGGAAGAGTAAATAGGCCCACACGTGCGTCCCAGCGAGGAGAAGAGGGGAGATTAAGAGCAAGCACACATCCTCTCCCCACAGGAAGGAGAAGAAGAAAAAGAAGGACTACTTATATACAGTTCCTTATGTATGTGGCTTTCTGATCATCCATCCCTCCATCTCCATCTCTTAATTCCCTGATCCTTCGTTCGCTGCGTGGAGAGTGCCGTCTTCTGCCTGTTTGCTTTTTGACAACCGCACTTCTACGATCCAGCCAGCAAGCCAGCAAGCCACAAACGATGCAGCAGCTGCTGCTCACACTCCTCCTGTGCCTGTGCGCCCTCGCACTCGCCGAAAACCTAAACTTTCGCTCCCCCTCCACAAACCACCCTGGTCTCGAGATCCCCCGCCCCGCTGCACACCTCACCAAGCGCTCCACCCCCACGGTCACACCCCTCCAGTTCACGCACGGCGTCGCCAGCGGCGACCCCTACGACACCTCCGTGATCCTATGGACGCGCGCCGTGCCTTCAGGCGTCGACTCTACCAAGCACCTCTACCGCGGGGCCCCCGCCTCCGCCCGTGTCTGCGTGGCGTGGGAGATCTCGGCCACGGAGGACTTTATGAGCATTGCAGACGGCGGGGAGACAGAGACGTCTGGGGAGGTCGACTACACGGTAAAGGTGGAGGCGAAGAGGTTGCGACCGTTTACCACCTACTGGTATCGATTTCGGGCGTGCGGGGCAAGCGGGGAGGTGAGTGAGGTGGGGCGCACAAAGACTATCCCCGCGGAGGATGATGAGGTGCCGGGAGGTCTACGGTTTGCCGTGTATTCGTGTGCAAATTATGCGGAGGGGTATTTTAACGCCTATGGCAATGTCGCGAGGAAGGACTCTGTGGACTATGTGCTGCATCTTGGGTATGTACATCTCTATCATTGGTCCTTCCTTTTTTCACGACTATTTATACAATACTAATAACACCACTCCAAACAGCGACTACATCTACGAGCTTCCCCTGCCTATAATCCTCAAAGAGCGCATCCCAAAGCCCTACAAAGAAGCCATCCAACTGCGCGACTACCGCCTCCGCATCGCCACCTACCGCACCGACGAAGACCTGCTCCTCAACCACAAACTCTTCCCCTGGATCCCCGTCTGGGACGACCACGAAGTGGCCAATAACGGCTACACCGGCGGCAGCACCGCCTCTCAGATTTGGATGTACCTCGAATGGACGTCCTGGGAGCAGCGCATGCACAACGGCATCCGCGCATACTTTGAATGGATGCCCATCCGCCAAGTCCAGGCCGACGACTCACTACGGATCTGGCGCACCTTCAAATTCGGCAAACTGGCGTCCCTCATCATGCTCGACACACGCTACTACTCGCGCGACGCAGGCAGCGAAGACACCGCCACCATCACCTCCGAGCACCGCTCCATCCTCGGCGCCCCGCAAGAGCAATGGCTCTACAACCAGCTCTCTGACTCGCAGTCCCGCAACGCAACATGGAACATCCTCGGCCAACAGATCCAGTTCTCGAACCTCAACGAGACGGCAATACCATGGTCCAAGGACGCGCCGCTCTACTACGACGGCTGGGCGGGTTATCGCGCGAACAGAAGGAGGGTGCTGGAGAAGGTTGTCGAGTATGGGGTGGAGAATTTGGTAGTGCTTACGGGGGACTATCATACGCTTTGGACGGCGGATTTGACGTGGGATGGGGATGAGGGCGGTAGGGGCGGGTATGAGCCGGTGGGTGGGAATGGGTCCTTGGGGATTGAACTGGCGGTTACGTCTGTTACGAGCTCTTGTGGTGCGTATAATACACAAATCCAATCATTGACCCATCATATCTGACAGTGAACAAACAGGCTACGGCGCCCTATCATACGACGACGCACACACTGTCGCCGCCAACCTCGTCGCCGACAATGCGGAGCTCAAATGGGCCGAGGGCTACTACCGCGGCTACTTCGAGCTCACAATCACGCCCGACAATCTCTCGGCGCAGTACTTCTCCATCCCTGACATCCTAACAAGGAACTCGGATGAGCTCAAGGTTGCACGCTGGGAGTCCGAGGCGGGGAGTAATAGGCTCAAGAGGCCGTTTCCGAACCCCACGGTGGGGGCGGTGCAGGGTGAGATTAGGGACTGGGCGATGCCGGGGGGTAGGGGTCTGAGGAAGAAGCGTTGAGGGGAGGGGTTAGTTATGCACTGGAGATGGATTGGACTTGACTATGGACATTATTGTGCAGCAGTAGTGGTAGCTCTGCTGTTTTTCATTCTTTTATCATGGAGTTTTCTTTTGTATTTATCAGGCGTTTCGGGCATCTTGGGTCGATGGGGTACATAGAGGTAATCGGTTTGCAATTAATGGGACAACTCAATTCATGACATGACATGACTATATTTTAGATAGCTATGAAATACGGGGTTGATGTATGGTATTTATAACTCTACTCTACTCTACTACTCTACTCTACTCTAGATTCTCCAAGATCCGCTGTGGGGTGTGGTTGGGTTACACTCGCAATTTAGGAGACTGGTTCAGATTAACGTGGTAGAGGAATGGAAAGTAATGGGAGGGTGCATTGCCAAACCAGGGATCAATGATCATCTACTTTATAATTTATCCCCTCCACAGAATCTCACTCACCGCCAAGAGCCTTACGTAACCACCAGATTAGCGACAACGCGCTAGGCCTAGTCTGCCACGCCCCCTCGGCTCATCACACATCCGTGAACCGTCGACGTCTGCGCAGATCAGATCGATCTGGCCCTGGTCACTTCTCCCCCCCCGCGCCCCGCCCAGCAGCGGCAGGCAGGCAAGTTCCCCAGACAAACATGTGGTAGTCGTAATATATTAATATTTGTTGGGCCGAGGCAAGAGGGAGCTTTCCTTGGAACCCTCTCTCTCCCCGCAAAGGTGCGACGGTTTCCTTGGACGGGATATTTACAGTTTGACAAGTCAACAATTGGGGCCATGGGGACGAACAGAACCTGTATGCACAATAATGGATTGGAAATAGAGATAAAGCCCCACCTCCTCCTGTTGGTTTTTGCCAAAAGGGAAGCAGATAGAGATAACGCATGAGAAGGCAGGCCGTGGCAATGGGGGCAATGGCAAAAAAGGCTATGGCTAGTACTCAAGAAGCACGGGGTTCCCGGGTACTTAGCTGGAAGGTCTCACGGCAGGCTGCCCCCTCTAGCTCTCTCTATCGCCCTCTCTCTTCCCCCCCCCCCCCCCCCCCCCCCCTCTTTCCCTCTACCAGTACCAGTGCCAGTGAGATCCTGTAAACTCCAGTCAGTACACACAAACACAGCATGTCCACCGAACCTCACCCCCCCAGCAAGCCCTCCCGACTCTCGCTCCTCCGCCTCGTCGCCCCCGCCGTCCCAAACATGCTCTACAAGTCCGCCGGGCACCTCCTCTCCCTGACGCCGCAGTCAACCTACTGGGACCTGCGCACCACGCTGACCGTCGAGTTCCTGCGCTCATACCTCGGCCGCGACAATCAGGGGGCCACCATCGAGGAGATCCAGGCCACGACACTGAAGCCGCTGGCCGTCGCAGCAAATACCTGGAAGGTGGATGTGGGCGTCCCTGTCGGCAGTGTCGAGGAGCAATGTGCGCTAGAGGATATGGTGAGGAAGGCCATTGTCGACCTGGCAAGTGGTGAGGATATTGAGCGGGTCATACCGAGGGTTGGGGTGAGTGCTGCGACAGGAGAGTGGATTGGGAGCAGGACGGCGGTGAAGGGGGATGTTGAGGAGGAGAGGGAGAAATGGAGTGAGGAGAAGAAATATGAGAGTATGATGAAGGAGGTGGAGGGCGGTGAGGAGAGTGGTGTTGTACTATGGTTGCATGGAGGTATATATTTTATATGTTTTCCCTGGTTTAAAGATTGTGGTTGATGTCAATGATTCTAACGCTGGTTTTTAGGCGCGTATTGGTAATTTCCATAGAGCTCTCTTGGTTTGGCTTTTGAGGTGATGCATGTTGCTGACTTCATAGGCTCTGTGGCCCCTCCACTCATCGGCCAATAGCACGTAAGGTTGCAAAGTCTTTCAAAGGTAGCTGGCCCAATAGCTCGCATGTGTAGTCCCGTTCCCGGACTATCTTCTGTTGATACATGTATATTTTAAAATGTGCACCTACGGGTCTGGGGCGGGCCCCAGAACTCACCCTATATCACCTAGTTAGCTTCGATAGACTAGAGACTTACTACATATTCCCATCTGTAGGCCGAGTATTCATGGCACGCTATCGCCTCGCGCCCCAAAACCCATTCCCCGCCGCCCTTCTCGACGCCCTCGCCGCCTACCTTTATCTCCTCCACCCACCCCCGGGCGCGCTCCACAAGCCCATCCCCGCCTCAAAGATCACCATTGCCGGCGACTCCGCTGGTGGAAATCTCTCTTTCGCCCTCCTGCAGCTGCTCCTCCATCTCCACCGCGCGGGCGACAATGAAGACGGCTACGAGGTGATACCATCGTCCGGTCCCATGCACGCGCCCAAGGTAAACTGGCAGGGCGCTCCCCGCGCGGTCCCACTCCCAGGTGGAATTGTGGGTGCAAGCCCGTGGATAGACGTGAGCCGCTGCTTCGGCGAGAGGTTTACGCATAAAGACGGGACGGTGGGGAGCGAGGAGTCTTGTAAAGGCTTCGACTATCTCCCAACTCCGCGCGAAGAGCGTGCAAGGAAATACAAATCCTCACCAGCGTGGCCGAAGGATGTTGAGAGGTCGCATGTCAGTATCCCCCTAGAGCTCGTAGATAATTGGTGGCTGGTTCCTGACTAGAAATAGTTCTATACACACGACGCCCTTGTCACGCACCCGCTTGTGTCGCCCATCATGGCGGAGAGCTGGTCCGGCTCTCCTCCAATGTGGATTAGCGTGGGTGATGAGTGTCTTCGTGATGCGAATCTCTACTTTGCGCACCGGCTAGTGGAGTCTGGGGCGTCGCTTCGATTTCTCCACTTTACGTCGATGCCGCATGTGTTCCAGGGGACGGTGCCTCATCTGGCAGTAGCAAGAAGGAGCTTTGAGGATATGGCGGAGTTTCTGGACGTTGTATTTGGGCGGAAGGAGGGGGAGGTGAAGACTGGTGAGTATCGGGTTCATCCGGTGACATTGGATGAGGTAGCCGTAGATAGAGTGGGGTTGACATTGGGCGGATTGACGGTTGAGGACGTGAAGGCATTGATGGTGAAAGAGGTGAAGGAGTGGGCTAAGAAGAGCGAGGGCGTTGAGGCGAAACTGTAGTTTTCTTTAAATTTCCTATTTTTTTCTTTTTTCTTTTGATTGTTTGACGAAGATGTAGTTATGAAGAAGGTGCGTATATTGTAGGTACTAGATTTTATTGATCGACTGACGAAACTTGGAATCCTGACGCTGAGTATCATTTTATTAGCTGCGGTACATATAGTAGAGGGTCGCATCATATTTTCTCACTCGTCATAAACTGCAATATACATGCTAGGTACTCTATAAGCAAATATTGCTAGGCCTGAGCTGTCCTTCATAATATATCACTCGATCATGATATTGGCTCTGGCCCACCCATGTATGTCAGCTGTTCAGGAATACGTGTACGAAGACAACGTGACCAAACAGACGAGGACAACGTCTAACATACATATAGCTCATCTTGCAGCTGGAGGCGATTGAATTACGTACATACATAATCTGTCCATTGAGAACAGAAATTATCATGTAGTAGCTTGGAGATTTACATACATTAATACGTACTAATACGCTCGACAGTTGACCAAATAAATATGACACGAATGCTAGTTTCTAAGCCCAGTAGTATTGCTGACATATTCTGGTAGTTGAGTACCCCAAATTAAGCGCTGGTGATTCGAATATATATCGTAAACCTTTTCCGCTTGCATCTTTGCAATTGGGATTAATCATAACCGTCTTTATTAAACTCAATAACAAATGAGACATTATATAAAAGATGTACAAGTAGCCAACTATCCACTGTCACGCGCTATGGATCCAGGGCGTCAGTGAAGTCCGTTTATATAGCTAAGATGTCAGGCCCATGGTTTCGTGTTGGGCGCTATGTGTCCGAGGTTGCATGAAGAGATGCGATAACCTGGAAATCGAGGACGCCAGGCCTGCCAGTGCAGACGATAATACTCCATCCCCGGGAATGCCCATGCCTCAGCTGCCTAGATCTGTAGAATTAATCACATGGTGCATGTGAGCTTGGTGCCTAGAATAGAGTAGAACTCGACTTTAGGCGCGTAAGGTATAATGTAGGCGAGCGAGAATTTGGCAGGTAAGAGATTAGAGTAGACCTGTATGGATCCATTGCAGCATACTCGACCATGAAAGGCCTAATAAATTTTAGGGTAGTATATACATGTATCTAGCCGCCAGAAACTTTCTTTTTTTTTGTCAGGATAGCGCCCGTCATATATACATGAATGGCTGATCGGTTTCTAACATAAAGATGTCCTGAACATAACAAGTCGTCGCTGAAAATTTCCCTTTTGATCACAACACCGGATTGGGATAGGAAATTCAGGCATACTATTGAAATCTGAAGGAATCTTGCGCGATTGGCGCATAGTCGCTCACTCGACCCGAGTAATCGAGTCCGTCTCAAGTTGTTCGAGGTGATATCATGTATTTATTGCCTGCAGTACTTGCATCACTGTAGATTCCGACTCGGTTTTTATGGAAGAGATTCATTAATCATTAAGTACATTTCTTGCATGTAGTGATATATATATGAAACAAATAATCAAAAATCAATCATGATTCATCAATCATTCTTATCCACACCCCGGCCAAAAAGATTCCAAGAGCCTTTGCCTCGTTTCCCCGGAGCCTGGCCACCTTTTCCTGGGCTTCCTATCGCACATTCTTCATCAATCTGGGCAGACTTCAATTTCGATTGAAATGCAATACCAATACCCCTCTTCATCTGTGCCCTGAACGCCCAGCACATCACCACCAGGATGATCATCGCTGATGATGGCCCTGCAGTTTTCCAAAAGTAACGTTGGTCCCATTCCATATCCCGAATATCGACCGTGTTCATACCAAAATACTAATTTGGGAAATAATTAGAGTATATTCCTTTTTAATGAGGGGTGGGGTGCGGTGGGCGTACCGAAGTAAAGAATGACAACGGAAGGAAGATGGTAGTTATAATAGTAAAGACCAAGAATGACTTGTTTTGCTCAGTGGATTGTCTTGCTAATTCAAGTTGAATTGCCGATTGTTCGGTGGATTGTTTTGCTAATTCAAGTTGAATTGCCGTTTCTTCAGCTGTTTGTTTTGCAATGATTTCTTGCTGTATCGCCATCGCCACCTGCTTTTTTGATGCCTCAATATTGAGAAGCTGGAAGAGCTATATGAAGTAATCATTATCAGTAGGTAGATCTATAGAGATATCTTTCGCTTCTACTCATCAATCATGTGGGGTAGGGTCGTGAGCTCCTACCAAATCTTGAGCTTGCTTTGCTTCCGCCCCAATGTCTTCGAAAGTCGCTACCACAATTTCAAACCGACCCATCATATACTTGTAGAATTCATTTGCAGCTGAGAGCTCCTCTGGCCGGAGGGAGTTGTCCATCGCAGCTTCTTTTATCATGCCCAGAATCTCCATCTGCTTTTTTGTGATTTCCAAGATTATTGCAACTTCGGAGATAACGGCATTGCAATCGGCAACCAGCTCTTCATCGGCGATAGGTTTATGTGCTACTCGGAAGTTCTGAACAAAATTAAGCATTTGTTTTGGAGGAGTAGTATAAATTATCAATGAGGATGGGTACCAGTGCAGCAGTGCCTTCTTTGAAGGCCTCTAGTATACGATAATGTTGTAACAAAACAAGATCAGCGAAGTATATAAAGAAACCATGAACTGGCCCTTGAGTTGTCACATCCGTGCCTTTCTAAAAAATAAATAAATAGATGTTAGACCTACTTAACCAATTAAGGAATCATGTCGGGTTAAGCAGTTAGACTTACGCTCGGTTCGAACATGTAACTATTGAATCCACCAACTTGGCCAGGAATAACAGCTGGTTTCATTGACTGAAAGGTAATGAGGGTTTCTATTGGTATTGATAATACTGCGGTTAACATTTTATTTAAATGGCTTTCTAGTAAAACTAAACATACCTTTTGTTGGAATAATAAACGCCCACAGCTGTTCAACCACAAGGAACTCGTCGTCGTCATAGTGACCTCTATTTCCTCTTCGCATAGTCTGCCTAAGATCAAGGGTGAGTGCATCCATTTTTGGATGATGGTATTCGAAAAGCGTGCGTCCGGTAAAAACGGTAGGAGGGGTGCCAAAATCACTCCCGTCGTAGTCACCAGAGAAACCGATACTAGGATCGTCAAGTGCGCTTCCATATATCCAAACGCCAGGCTTAGGCTGTTCCTTGCCGTCTTGATCAATATAGCTCTCTGCGTACTCATACCCTGGTGCTCTAAGAAACGATGGATGATGCCTTAGCACCCTCTCAGCCGTTTTCCTCGGAATAAGCTTTGAGCCCAAGGCGACATTTAGTATGGGCATTGATATTGTAATTTTGTACGCCTTTCCAACTGATGGCTGGCATTCGACAACTGGTTTTACAAAACTATTGAAGTAGCCTCTGCACATGGAGGCACGAAAAGGATCAGAATTGAGGACAGGCCCGTGCGGTGGAGGCAGGTTGAGATCCTTGAAAAAATGACGAAGGTTCTATTGATAGAGATCTTTTAGACACTAGTAATGTGTAGCTGTGTAAATTTATTGTTCCGTAACACGATAAGGTACTTACTTTAATCCACAGGTATTTATTGATAGGGAACATTCTTTAAACGGACATATAATGAGTATAATCATATAATTATCAAGTAACCAATATCATTGATGGAGTACTTACATGTGTCGATATGAATTGCCTCTTTTAGGCCAACGCTTGCAATCGAAGTCCATACCACCTCCCTTCTCGCCCACGAAGTAAATAATCCTGTGTATTGACAGGTTTTCGATGAAGCTCAGATTATCTAATGGTCTGTCCTTGAAAGCAACCCAATAATTCCCATCAAGTGGAAAGTTCTTTTTAATTGTATCTTGCAGAATTTGAGCGATCGGGGTATATATTTCGCCCATAGGTTGTTCGTTTGTCCACATTAATGTAGGTATTAAGCGACGCAGTTCTTGTTCTGTGCTATGCCTTCCACATTCTAAGGCCTGATCCCAAGTCGGCCAGTCTTTATTTGCGATTCCGATCAGTTCCTGGCCGGAATAGAGCATATCCTCTGTTTTGTGAAATCCATCATGTTGTAAACTTACAGTACCACGCCGGATCTTCCAATGCTTTCATCATCTCATCAATGCTATCAAGTCTTGCCCTTTCGTCGTCCGAAAGCTTTGCTCTCCGAGATTCAACCCAAAATTCTAGATCCCCCACGACGGCCGGGTTGTTCCATAAATATGCAGTATTGACAACAGTACCCGGCGTGACCCATTGATAGGGAATACCGGTGGATACCTTCTGGACCGTTGGGACTATAGGCGCAACGTAAGTTATTGTTACAGTAGGTATGGTTGGAATTGATCCCCCAATATTAGGAGGGCTCTGGTTTCCTCCTGTCTGCCCTGGAGGGGACTGTTGGCTTGAACTTTGATTTCCTGTGGTCATTTAGGTGTCGGGAGAAAGGTTCACTATAAGCAAGGAGAATATAAGATTGTATAAAAGGTGGAGATCTGTTTTCTAGATTTCCCATCGCGGGTATGGGTAATATATACGAGAAAATACGGGGATGTCATCTTATCGCGAGTGTCGCGCCGGCGCTTAGAGAGGGGGTAGCAGGTTAAGCTCTTGAACAACTCCAGACGTCTGTAATGACCGCCCGCATATGCAACCTATGAATGAAATTTACATACATATATGTACCTCGGGAAGCATGGGAGGCCTTAAAAAATAGCCACCATGACTTGGGTGGCTTGCTGCATTAGTAGCGCCGGCCATGCATCTAATTCGCGTGTAACCAGCGTAGCTAATAAGGTACAGTACGGTACCAGTATATCAAAGTCCAAATCTGGCGCCCAAAGTCTTTTTTTCGCTTCCACAATTGGTTGCTGCGGTAGCTCCCGAGGGCTCTCGAGTAGACTCCATTGATATATTATTGAATTAGTAAACCGTACACGTCCGGTACATGTTGCCCTATTAAAACCTCGCCCGCTAAGGCCATCTGAAATTTCGAGTTGATAGCTTCTGTGGTTCGGCGGAAGAAACGCTCGGTTTTGCGGACGGTTTACCGGATCACTTGCTCCATATGTAGAGAGGTACATATGTAGGTACTCGAGGACTGGATCTATGTTTTGAATTAAAATTCAAGTGTATCTACCTTACTAAGTTAGCATTCTCTCTAGAGGCACCTTACTAGAGTAGTATAAGTTGATCTGATGCCTTATGATATTACTAAGAGTGATCTTCTAGAGTAGGTGAAGTTCTGGGGCGGAATTAAGCATGTTTAACAGGGTCGGAAAGACTGTGTGCAGGTGGCGGTGCAGTGGCCAAAGGATTCGTGGCACCGAAAGCCATTCTGTCAATCACATTCAGCAAGTGGCTGATTACATGTAGTTTTCGCGATTCCCCAGATTAAACTTTAGAGTTGTAAGGGTTCTGATTAGTAGACTTGCACATTTAGGTAGAGTAAATAGTACGCAGTCACGGTCATGGTAGCTGTGAATACATGTATCTATTACTTGGTTTTTAGGTGCCTCACGACCAACAAAAATTAAACCTATTTCAGGTTCTGAGCCGGTAAACATGCAGGATCTCATAAATCTGCACGCATCCCGTGCAAATAGAGTAGAACAGATACCTATTCCACATGTGATAGTTGTTGGGCCAGTGCACGCTGATAAAGTCACTCATTCCCGTCAGCTCCCCTCTTTATCAGGTTGCGTCACCGTGTGAACCGGCTGGATCTTGGATGGAACAGGAGGACCCTGTTCAGATGTTTGTAATTGGTGACTAGCCACCACAGCCCCTTGGCGGGCGCTTGCACCGCCCCCCATCATTCCTTCGATTTGCCCCTCGTTTTTGCGCTCAGCTTGTGAATGATTTGCTTAATGCAGGCCTGTGCTATCTTTTAAATTTTCATTGTTTCGCCCAGGTAAATAATTTTCCACGTTGATGGGTGCATACGCAAGCCTCTTTGGCCACCCCAAGCAAAGTTATGTGAGGATTTCCGGTAGGTGATCTGCGAACATGTACATGTGCGTACGTGATGTAGTTATCGGCCAAGTATTTATATGTAGAGGCCTCATAGAAACAGGCCCTCTTTACCCCCTAATTTTCATCACTCATCTCAAAAAAAATTACACTCGCCTCATTCCGGCAGACCTCTTTTATCTCGACAATCAGAAATGACCGATATTCGCTTTAATTTCCCTGAAATCAAGGTGATCAAGGCCAACGGGCCACCTTCAAATCCCGGTGTACTTGTTCTTTCGGTCGAAAACGTCCCCGAAGATACCAAGGAATATCTGAATCTCAGGTTCTTCAGCACTTCGGATTTTTATGCAGATATCGATATTCGACTTTGCAGAGACGATGTGGTAACGAAACTTGATCCGTCGACATTCAAAATCGAGCCTGCGACAAATTCAGGGAAGGGAACTGCCACCAAGAACCCAGAGGAGGCCCTCACTATCATCTTTCCTCCAACTGACCTTCTCGTACCACAAAACGATCCCAGAATCGGTCAAGAACTCAAAATAACGAATTCTACCTGGGGTGTTGTGGTAGAATTCTTTGAGATCGAACTTAAAAGGATATATGATAGCTATGGAAATAGCTCTGGGAACAGCTCCGTAAAGAACCCCGAGAAGAGCTCCCAGTATCCAAACGAGAAGACTGTACTACCTCGTGATATAGATGCTCCTGCATATGCTAGTAGTAGTAAGGCCATGGCTGCCTACAATCCAAGCGATCACCAGGACAACAAAGAGGGAAGGTTAGTTCTAGTTGACGAGGAGAATGGGGATGAGGTTGGTGAGGTCAACTCGTACCATGTCCATGCTATTGGCGTAACTCCAGGAAGTAAAGGTATGTCCTGCTATGAATGACATTGACAGCTATCAACCATGAATATGATATTGACATTAAATCAGATCCAGTTGAAATCCAATTACCAGAGAATCAGCAGGGAACTGTAACCGTAAGTTTAACCGAACTGAAACCTCTATCCGAGTATACAGTGATTGAATTATTTGGTTAGGTTCGCCCTGCTCAGCCAGAATATCTCAGGGACTCATTACACCCAGCGTACGCCAAATCGACTCTTGTTAGCACAGCTGCAACAGCTTCGCGCTTGATCGTAACCACGAGTTCCTATGTCGCCAACGCGATTCAGTCTGGAGCAGATGCCTACGTAAGACGTACAAAACCGAACGAAGTTCCGATGGTGTTCGACCCGAGCACGCACAACAGAGTCCGTCAAATCCACACAGTGTCTACCAGCGCTGCTAAAATTTCTGCCCAAACTATTGGACAGGTAACGAAGCACGCTCAAAACATTGGGGCCCGTATCGCTGGCAAAAACCAGGAGCGACCCTCGAGGGGGCAGATTCCAAACCCCGGGTTGCTAAACAAGGGGCTCATTGCATTCTCTACCATTGCAGATGGAATAGACCACGCATCTAAAAACCTGTTAAACTCGGGAGCTAATGCAGCCACAACCGTAGTTGGCCATAAGTATGGCGAAGAAGCAAGATCAGTTGCTCATGGCCTGACTGGCTCTGTCACCAATGTGGGCCTCGTCTATGTTGACGCTTCTGGGGTTTCTCGGAGAGCCATTATCAAGGGTGTAGCAAAGGGCATGGTTATTGGAAAAGTGCGCGGAGGCGGTGATGTCATTGTCCCTGGGCCACAAGATTCCATTCCGGGCCAACAACTGCAGATTAGCCAAGGATTCAGCAGCACCACATCTCTTCCAGCAAGTGGAGTAACTACCCCAGGCGGGTATGGAAGTGAGGTTGGATTTGGGAATGCCGCGCCACCTTCTTATGGTCATGTTCAGGGCACGCAAGGCTTCAATGGTTCGCCTAATGGTAACGGAAATAACCAAAATTCATATTTTCCTCCGCCTCCACTACAAAGGAGCGTAACGGCCCCACAACCTACAGGGTATGCAAGCATGAGATCTATTAATCCAAGACCATACGAAGGAGTCACTTACCAACAATCTAAGTAGGAACTATCCACCCGAGAAAGTGTCTGAAAATGGGCAGTATAGATACCTCTAAAAGTACTCGGATTTTTTTTATCTCTTTCTTTGATAAATAGTTGGTTATTTCTGGATTTGTTTTTGTCTGCGGGCTTGTAGTTCCCTATCTTCTTTTCTCTCGAGATCTCATGTTTTTGTTAGGAGTTCGTTTCCGGTTTCTCGGCTCCATGCGATTCATATGATACTTAGAGTAGGCTTTTATACTTTGTACTAATACTATTACTATTCTCATTTATTCTCAGCGATAACAATGTTTTACTATTGGTGTATTATTGATAGTTACAATCTTCTAGGAGCCAAAATATGGGATTCCTAGCTTCAATACGGGACGACTCTTTGCTTAGTCCTTCAGCAAGTCCATAGCGGGCGGCTGGCTGGCTGGCTCACCGTGTGGTGGGCCGGCCAAGCATAAGGTTAATAGTTAAATAGAAGGTGGAGACGTAGAAAGTAAGATCTGTAAATTCGGCGAAAAAGTAGGGTTATTGTATTAGGGCTAGGCCCAAGAAACCCTCCAAAGGAAAAAGCTCTTTCCTGTCCGGCTGTTTCCACCTTCGCCCCCTCCAACCTCGAAATATTTTAATAATTACACAGGCGCTTTGTCTCACCTACTTATGTACTCTTGTGTTCGGTGAATATAAGCTCTAGGTTCATTCGTTCTGTCAGAGTCAATTTGGAACCAAGCTCCATCTGACCACTGACTTGATAAGGACAATCACAGGCTATCACACGGCCACTAGCACTTCCTGTGTAACGGATATCAAGCCACACTAACTACTTAAGTACATCATGTACATATCTAGTCTGTCAGGAAGTGACACAACTAAACAATCGCGAATATTTCAAAACTCACGCGGATGTACCCCGGTCCTTGTCGCCTTCGAGTCGCATCCTCTTAACAATCCACGTAGGGATGTCGATGGTTACGGCATTACAGATCTCATCACTCATCAGCACGCCTTCATGCATTCCTGACTCTTCACACACTAGTAACGCTCAGATAGCATATAATAGTATGTGCTGGTTAATGTACAATACACTACTTAAGTATCAAAGATTTCTCGTCCTCAAAGCTATGGAAATGTCACATGTATACACATATTCCCATGAAAGGATCACAAGGTCTTTGCTAGCTCTTGGGCAACGACCTTGTGTACAGGGTATGTCGGGTGCAGATTGTTGAGCCAGAAGTACTCGTTAACTGGGACAAGGCACTCGTCATAAAGCGTGTCTTGAGCAGGAGTACCACTATTTCAGAAAATAAGTTGGTTAGCACGAGACACTATGTGGAGGTATGGATGATGGGGGCTCATACTTTGTATAACTTTCACAGTACCCGGTGGCGTTCTTCAATCCATATTTACTCGGGTTGTCCAAAATCTTGTTGAACACTTTGTTTGAGTCAAATACTTGAGCCCACACATCATTATGGGCCGTCTTCAACGCCTTGACTCTTGTCTCAACCATCCCGTTATAGCTCTTTATCGCCTCCGCCTCCAAAGCCACAGACTCCGCGCCCTGGCCGACGGTGAGCGGGGAGCGGTCAACCGGCGGAACATTAATAAAGACGAAGTTCCTCGCGCCAGTGGTGTACAGCTCTTCGATCAAAGAGAAGTACTCATCCATCAATTCTGTGTGGAAATTTTCATAGTCCCCATTCCAGTAGCTACCCCCGATATCGTTGATGCCGATCCAGATTAAGAAGAGACTGTCGGACGACTTCCATGGTGCGTAGGAAGGCTTAGGTCCAAGGATGGGGACGAAGAGTCCTTCGACTTGGTCCTTGAGGGATAGTACCGTGGGCGTGTAGGGAGTGACGAGGTCGGCATCGATTGTTGCACCACCTGGAGTTACCAGTTATTGACAGAACGGCTTATGGGATTAAGTAGGGGCTTACCATAGGCAAGGTTGTACGTCAACAGCTCAGTCTTGTTGAACTCGACAGTCAGGTAGTCAACCCAATTTGGACCGCTAGGTTTTGGTTAGCCATGGCAAGAGTTGAGTCTCGTTTAACCCACAAATACTTACTTTGCTGAGGTCCATCCAGGGTATACTGGGTTTCCCAGCGGGTTTCCTGATGTTGGGAGAGGTGACCCGTTCGTCAAGTTGAAACCAGTTTGTGAGTAAGAATCACCTCTGCATCAATCTGTTAATCATTGCATGCCGTCGGATCTACAATCAGAAAGACCTACAAAGTGAAGAGGTATTTCAAGTTTTTGAAACCTGGGTAGACCTGTTTCGAAGCCCTTGGCAACACACTTGCAGACCCAAATGCAGAGCACAAGCTCAAAGCGACCACTGCCGTAGATGATAATGAGGGGAACATGATTCTAGGACTGAGCTATTGAGTCTGGAGAAGGCGAAGAATTCGTGGAGAGTGTAGATGGGCGCAGAGATTTGAACGAACACCACCTATTTGTACCTCCAATATTGGCAGGTCTTCAGGGGAAACCTTTTTGATTAACAACCACAAATTGGAGAACTTTGATTAAAAACCTCAATTGCGCCGACATCAAGAGGATTCAACCGGGAATCATGGGTGGGGAAGCCGATACCGAACTCGTGGGTATTACGGAGGAACGGAGATGAGAGCTCATCACCGAAAATTGATTGAGCCTTTCCATTTGTAACAATCAAATAGCAAGCCTTCGGAGTATATATGGGGCGATGTCTGGGTATTTATTATACCCGGTTTATTGAATTTGTACTTCTTTAAGCTAAGTTAATCAGGGGATTCCGGGGGATCGGCCCGTGGAAGCCTTCGTATATGCTCAAAGAGGTTAATTGAAGTACTTTGTTCAAGCCGGTAAATATGATAAGTGAACGTCATGGATGGGAAGAAGAACTTCCTGCGGCAGGAACAAACGGTATACAGGCAAATGTATTAGTATGGAGAATGCTTAGCGCACACTAATCTGAAGCGAAGAATCTGGAGAACCCCGGTTTTCTAGCTAAATACCCCGGATATTCAGGGGTTATGGATACAGCGGATCAATGCTTGGTCTCTTAAGTCGGGTGCCAACTATATGTACTATCCCCCCACTCCTTAGTCTCTGACCAGAGAATTGATTGAAAAAGAGATTATATGCTAGTGCGCAGCTGCAGGAACGAGAATTTCTAGAGATATGTACTCCCTGGGATTTTCCGCGTCATTTTTGACAATTAGAATTAATTTGCGAATGACTCTAGTTCTCGAACTACTAGCTTCTACATTTACCAGTGTAGTTGAAAGAAAAAAAGAAAAGAAATGACACTATTTTCACATAAGTATGAGTATTCAGTACAAGCACTCACCCCATACAACTCCTTCCAACCGGTCAGTTATACTCTACCTTGGAAACGCAGCAATTCGAGCACTATGCCTAGGAATACTCTACAGATTAGTTATGAGATCTGCGTCGACTCTATAACTAGTGGACATTCAAGCACCCAAGAAACCATTACATTGGGCCCTACATGCATGAAGCGCCATGTACCAGACGAAAGCTCCCTCTACGACCGCTTTTAGAAAGAGATTCTCATCTAGAATCTTTCGTCAGACGCAAGATGTATTGTCTAGGAGAAAACAAACATCAGTTTGAAATGGAGGTTTTATCAAATAACGCACAGGCTTATTAATTCTATCAGATCGATATTTTGCGCATAGACGAGCTCCACATATATACATATATCAGTGACTCTAGCTAGTGCCTTATACCACACATACTATCCGACGCCTCGATCGCAGTATGCGGGGTATATAATAGGATATGTAAATATCATGAGTTGTATTTTCGGTTCTTCATAATGGTCTCTGTTCCTTCATTTGATTTCTCTCTCCGTCTTTGGTTAAACCCACAAAATCAATTACAGGGTCCACAAACCAGATCTATCCGCTGCCAAGACACGTACATCTGCATGCCTGTCGATCTCCGTTACACACAAGTTCAGGCAACCCACAATACCACATACCAATGGTTGAAATCCCCACAATTTTCTAGCCGCTAAGTTGGAAGGCCTGAGATGCCAGCAAAAATCCCCTTATCCCCCGCCTATTTAGACGATGGGCCGTTAGTTAGCTCTTTCTTTCCTCCTCTCAATTCCAGTTTACTACGGTAGCTAGATGAGGATCCCATTACACATTGAAGCCAATATAGATATTATATACCGGTAGAGCAAGAAGGACCTGCGACTCAAAGCATTTCTCTCGCCGAAGAGCAATAATTGCAAGCCAAGTCAGCTATGGACGAACTCTCCTTCGCCCTCGCAATCGAGCTGCAGCTACACGATGTCGAAGAAGCGCTCTCCGCCCGCAAAGGCAAAGGTCGTCTCGGTGACGCCGTCACCTCCAGCGACGAGATCGCATTCAATGATTACCGTGAGCACCTCCTCGCCACCACGCGCATGCTCACCGACGAGCGGCTCGCAGAGAGCCTTGATCGGGCCGTCAGGAGTGACGGAGAGCTACTCGAGGTGCTGACGAAGCTTGAGTTGGGGGATGAGGGGAGTCGGGAGCTGGCGATGCAGTTGTCGGAGGAGGCGGTGGTGGTGGTACCGGAGGAGAAGAGTAGGAATGATATGTGGAGGAGCATGGCGGTGGGTACGGGGGCGGAGATGACGGATGAGGCGATTGAGGAGTTGGAGAGGAGGTGTCAGGAGTGGGATTTGGTGGATGAGCTTGAGCAAAAGGTAGACACCCCGCTAAGTCGTCGTCTGGTTCTATTAGTGGGGATAGTCTGTGAGAACTTGTGCATGATGCTGTTTTGTGTTTTCAATCTCTTTTGCTCTCAAAGCTCGAAATTCATGTAATTCAGTGCAATGAGGCTGCAATTCACTACATATATATTGTTAAAGCCTTTTGAGACCACACACTGACAGGGGAAAACCACAGCTGTCGACCGCAGGCCCCTCCTACTCTAAATCTGGTGCCTCCAAATCTGGCGCCAAAACCTTTCACTCTGGAACCGCCCCCTCCGGAACCACCTACTCTGGCGCCAGTACCTACAAACCCAGTCTCCGAAAGTCCCGCGCAGACTGTGCCATCTGTCTCGAGTCCTTCTCCGCCGAACACACCATTACCGCCCCCTGCACGCACACCTACTGCTTCGCTGACCTCAAAGACCTCTTCATCCGCGCCTGCAAAGACGAACAACTCTTCCCCCCGCGGTGTTGCAAGCAAGAGCTCTCCCTCGAGCTCGCGCTCCCCCTCTTGACCGACAACGAGGCAGTTGAATTCCTCGAAAAAAGCGAGGAGTATACCTGCAAGGACCGCACGTACTGCTTCCAGCCATCATGCTCCCGCTTCATCCCGACCGAGAACATTTCGCGCGATGTAGCGACCTGCAACGACTGCTATTCACGGACATGCAAGCTGTGCAAGAAGGAGGAGCACGACAGCGAGGACTGTCCCGACGATCCGAGTATGAAGCTTACGCTTGAGACGGCGGCGGCAAATGGATGGCAGAGGTGCCAGCAATGCCATTCGCTTGTGGAGAGATCGCATGGGTGCCAGCATATGACGTGCAGGTTAGTACTCTGAACAATGTAGTAGATACTCGCCTGGTGATATCAGCTAACAGAAACGCCGCATCACAGATGTAAATCCGAATGGTGCTACCGCTGCGGCATCATATGGAAGATGTGTGAGTGCGGCGACTGGGACGAGGGCCAACTCCACCGGCGAGCGGAGGATCTGGCCATCCGCGAGATGGGTGCCAATGCCGGGGTGCGAGCGCTGGCATTGCATGCGAGGACGATTGTGGAGGACCTCAGGGTCAACCACGAGTGCGAGCATACGGACGGGTGGACGTATACGTCGACTGGGGCGACGTGCGAGATGTGCTCGGATTATCTGCCCAACTATATTTTTGTGTGTGATGGATGCAGGTTGAGGGCTTGCAATAGATGTCATAAAAACAGGATATAGACTTTATGTAGATAGGTGCTGAATACACAGTGGCAGTATATGTTGCTGATAGAGTCTTTAGGGTTTGCAGTTTGTGGGGTAGCTCAGAGGTTGTGCTACTAGTGCTCGCAATGATAATATATTCAAACTAAACAGCGTAGGCTCTAATTGAAGAAATTGAGTGTGGAGATCGGCATTTATGCTTTGAGACGATAATCATTGGTTAGCATTCAGGCTTGGCATTCCAGCATCACAGACTATCACTCGCATAAAACCCTAGCGGACGTACCCTCACAATAGACAAAGAGAATGGGACAGGGCGGTGCAAATAGAACCCGCCATATCCCACTAACTACTATTAGCATATAGGGCCTTTTTCTCGGCACAATCTTTCGTTTGTAGTTGCGGTTGCCCAGCCCGGCCGCACGAAGCCCGCACGAAGCCCCCTCGACCAAGAACCCAACTCCCTCGTAAATAAAATAAAACGTCCGTAACCACGTACCGTCTCTCTTCACCTCCAAACAACACAATTCTCAAATGTCTTTGGAACCGACCACATTGCCCGCAATGTCTGCGGCCACCCCAAAGCAGAATAAAATGTGTTACGTTCTCATCGACGCTCCTCCCGCAGGTAACTGGAGGGACGAGTACAGCTTTCCAGTAAAGGAAGAAGAAAAAGAAGATGACCCTTCCATGTTAATGTCAATGTCGTCGTTACCTGAAGCCAAAAAGGTCAAAAGGGAACCAACGCCGTCACCCAAAGTCAACAAGAGAGCAATGTCAGTACCTGAAGTCAACAAGGAAGCAATGTCAGCACCTGAAATCGACAAGGAAGTGCCCTATCACCCTTCGTTCGACGAGGTCGAAATAGATAGTAAGTCGAATAATTCATTCCTACAGTATAGAGTCTCTACTAACACAGCAACTAGGCGCCGGCAACATGAAGCTCGTCCGCGTGAGGAAGAGGCGCAAGCTCAAGGTTCCAGGCCCCACCCCCGAGGAGCTCGCTGCCCGCGATGCTAGTAGTGACACTCTTCTTTTATGTCCGTCACTCCCCCTCCCTCTCTTCCCAAAACCTACCACTAACACACCCACCAGCTACACGCCTCAACTTCACCGCTCACACGAGCTGTGCTGAAATCAACAGCTGGCTTGCTCACATGAACAACAAGTATCTCGATTGGCACATCCACACCCGCCTCGTCACCTACACGGACCGCCAACGCAAACTCAACGAGCTTTCGCGCATCGCCCGCGGCCCCCTCCCACAGGTCTTCAAAGACGCCGAAAAGCACGACTGGAGCCTCCCCTCATGCCTCAGCAGCGCGCTCTACAGCGTCCGCACCACCGGCACCATCTTGATGTTCCGCGCACCAATCTGGAACCCCGTGCAGCTGCGTGAGCGCATGGTCGCCTTCCACACCTACGTGGTCATCTACAAGAACCGCACAATCGTCATCGCCGACCCGGGCTACCAGCGGGAGGCACAGAACGTCGTTGACGGCGTGGCCAAGAGGTGGCGCGAGAGCGAGCTCACGTATGGGTTGGGGCTTGCGGCGAAGTTTATGGCGATGGTGAGGAAGAAGTTTAGGGTGGAGAAGTCCTGGTATGGGAAGGGATCCAAGTTGCGCTATGATGATACCAATGGGAATGTCTTGTCGCAGGATTTCATTCTGCAGTATTTGGGGAGGGCCGGGGAGGATATTGATTGGGAGAATGAGGGGTTTGTCGAGATTATACCTTAAGTGGGTATAGGCTGGCTTCGTGGGTACCGTGGTGATTATACTAGGGTGATAAAAAATCAAGTCACATAGTTAGGTAAGAAAGGTTGTGGAAGGTCCGGATAAGTCTAAGAAAATATACTGGATCTGTTTTAACTCTTAAAATCTTCTTACTTGTAATCCTTTAAAAGCTCCGAATCATATCAACTATATTAACCTCATGACAGATTCTAGACACTGTGCTGTACGATTGGGCGTAGAGTTACGTGATTTATTCCAGGAGCCGAAATGGTCCCTTCGAATACTGTATAGTTACAACAAGCCAAGGAAATATTCCAGAGAATAGTAGAAAGAAATAGAAGAAAACGAGCAACAGAAAGAACCCAATAAAGACAAAGACCGCCAGCCCACATCCTCCATCATCTACCTATGCCAAACAAAAGTACTCCTGACTGGAAACAAATAAATAGAACGAAACCCCAAAACCAAACCTGCCTAAAACCAAACTAAAGAACTGCTCCAAACCCATCACCATCCAACCACTTTTCCAACCATGGGCGACAAATCCCTTGCTTGCCAACAGGGCTTTCGAGCCGGCTACCTAGCTGCCTTCCACGCGTCCCTTCAGATATTGCCCGAGCCCATGCAAGCCGCCTTGCGAGCCGCTGCAGCTCCTACTCACGCTGTCCAGATGCAGACTGTTGCCGAGAGCGCCGATGTTTCCACAGATCTAGAGGTTGGTATCATTAACCTACCTAAAGAGGAGGGGGAGGAGGGGGAGGAGGAGAAGGAGAAGGAGGAGGAGGAGAAGGAGGAGAAGGAGGAGAGGAAGGAGGAGGAGAAGGAGGAGGAGGATGAAGAAGAGGAAGAGGAAGAAGAGGAGGGAAGTGATACAGACACACCTACCCCCGCACCCAAGCGCCGTCGTCTCTCAAGGCCCCCCACTACCGCTGTCGCCGCCCCGCTGGCCCCTGTCGCTCCTGCTGTCGATGCCGCCTCTCTTATCCTGGCGATCGTCTCAAACCTGCATTCTACCGAAGACGGGTCTCACACCAATCCTTAAATCAAGCCTTTTGCTATGAATCTCATTAAGATGTTTTTCTTTTAAAAAAATAAAAAAATAAAAATAAAAAAAATGCTGGACCCATGGGTCCAGTCAGCTTCTTACATCATGCGCACACGGTATCAAGATTTCCGGCTGATATATCATTGACCCATCGCTCATTCGTAATTAAAATATAACTACCATTGTCACCATCATCAGCGAACTGAACTAAATTGACTACTATGAGTGAAGCATACATCAGGTAAAGATATGCTACTTCGAAACTAGTTTTTCGCTGTGTTTTTCGCTACGTTTTATTATGCGTAACGACTCGAGCGCAGGGTGTAGGTTTATCTATAGCCCTATTTATTGGTTGATGAAGTAGCCGTAAATTAATACAGCCCTCACTCAGCGACTTACTACAAGGATTTATGTTGATAACGACAGGAGGGTTGTTTGTTAACTGGTTTAAAGAGCCAAAGTGATTGGATGTAGTGTAGCTTCATGAGGTATCACTCGACAATGCCAGCCGCACCAATTAGCGTAAGAGAATTCAGAATCGGTAAAGTATTGGAGTTCGTAATTATACATATATATTAACGACATAAAAGAATAAACAAATAAAAGCCCATTCCAAAGAAGGTCTAATAAGAAGCTGGAGAATAGAGAATAAAGAATAAAAAAATGAACCAAAAAAGAGGGAGAGATTTCCCAAAACACCCAAGAAGTAACCCAGACAACCAACCGACTAACCAACAAGCACCTAACCCATCTACGTCTATTAACCACCTTTTGTTATCACCTCCGGCCCACCATCACCACAAACACCATCTACTTTGCCACAACCACCTTCTTCTTGCTGTTCTTCGGCACTCTCGCCAGCCAGTAAATAAAGATGGCCATCGAGAGATTAAACACGGTGTAGCACAACATCAAACCAAAATTCCTCCAGCGGTCGCCGTAGTCGATCGACAGCGCCGACAAGAACGTGTTGGTATCCGCGATTGAGCAATATCTACAGTCCGCCGTCGCCGACGGGTTTACGATGGTTCCGCCAGCAATCGACATGAACGGCTCCAGGTAGTCCGCACATGTCTGGTTTGACGGCGGGTTGAAGATTGTGAACTCGATATTAGAGCAGTGGACTTCGGCATTGGCTATGGCCGTTGAAAGCATAGCACTGATGAGATATGTGAAGGGCGAGACGCGGTACATGAAGATCCAGAAGCCGGGAAGACTGTCTACAGTAGCGAGGACACTGTTTGAGGTTAGCAGCTGAGTTTGCAACAAAAGAGCGTGAGGAGGAAAGAAGACTCACCCGCAAAACATAAATATTAACATGAACAACAAGTTCGCCAAATTACTTCCTGCCTCTGCGGATTCAATTCCAGCAATCATCATATGTGTGAACGTGGACGTAAACATGTAGAACGACCACAGCAGCAGGAACATCAAACCACCACGCTCACTGGTAGAGCCGGTAGCTTCAGCGTTCCTAAACATCCCAATTGGGTAATACCAGAGGAAGAAACTAATGATACACATCACCGTCTGCCATGGGAGCTCAACAATGATGGAGGAGAGAATGAATGCTTTCCACGAGTAAGCCTTTGAAGGACGCTCTCGAGCCTCGTAGAGACTGCGCTGGGTTACAAAGTGAGGCATGATCTGTTGAACGATGGTGCCGAAGATTGTCATGAACAAGAAGACGGAAAACATCTGGTTCTGGAGGCCTTGTAGCGAGTTCTTAGAGTTAAGGAAGGAGAGACCAATCAGGAGGGATGTAGCAGTGCAAAGGAAGATCTTCGAGTAGATATAAGACGGTGTGCGCCAGGTTTGCTGGAACACACGCATCAGGCACGTCTTAAACTGGTACGAAAACGGCATCGCAAATTCCTCATGGCCATGTCCATCTGTTGAGTCTCCGCGGCCTCCAAGCTCTACCTGCATATCATCCAATTCCTTCCTAACCGCAACCCGCTCAGGACTATCCAACCAAACCTGTGGCCAGTCCCTGGTAGAAACAGCTCCCGGTGCAGCACCAATAACCTCAAGCATCCACTCAGCCGGGTTTGCCTCAGGAGGGCAAGGGTGCGCTCCGTTCTTCTCAAAGTATCCAGTCAGAACGTGTGAGTTCTCGCCAATCTCTCCAAAGTACACTGTCTTACCACCCTTGGCAAGGAACAATAGGCGGTCAAAATTCTGGACTAAAAGAGCCGACGGTTGATGAATAGTGCACAGAATTGCCTGCCCGCTGTTTGCCAGTTTCCTCATCAGGTCACAAATGGACCAGGCTGTCTGACTGTCAAGACCGGAAGTAGGTTCGTCGAGGAAGAGTAGGAGTGCAGGTTTTGCGGCAAGCTCAACACCAATCGTCAAGCGTTTCCGCTGCTCCACGTTCAGTCCTTCTCCAGGTACACCAACGATTGCTTCTGCGTATTCCTCCATTTCCAGAAGCTTGATGACCTCTTCAACATAGTCCAGTTTCTCCTTCTCAGGCGTAGTTTTTGGTTGCCGCAACAAAGCACTGAAGTTCAAAGCCTCTCGCACAGTGGTGGTCTGAAGATGCAAATCCTGCTGCTGAACGTACCCAGTTTTCCGCTGGAAAGATTCATCCCGCTGCTGGCCATTGACGAGCATATCACCGGTAACAACACCCATAGTAACTCGACTAGCAAGAACATCCAAGAGCGTAGTCTTTCCAGCTCCCGAGACACCCATCAACGCGGTCAAAGTTCCAGGCTTAACCCATCCATCCACATGATCCAAGAGACGTCTGTGTTCCTTCTTGATCTGAATATCATAGCACACATCTCTCCACATGAAGATATCTGTCTGTTGCTGAATCGCCGCCAATTTCTCGCTGGTTGCATTTTGTGCCACCACCGGCCGCCCCGTGGCAATCGCCTCTCCGTCGATACCCTGTTTCCTCATTTTCTGGAGGTGCTTCTTACGGAACAGCAGCACTTCACCCTTAGACCTCGCCGCAGCAATGTATTCTGTGCCAGCAAGATACGTAAACAGGAAGAAAATCATGAACGCGAGGATGATACCGAGATTGCGCCAGAGATGTCCGTACTCGTACTCATAGGTGGTGCTAATGTAGTTACCACCGTCGACTGTGAGCATTCCCGTGACGGCGCCCTTGACACTGCAGGATTGTTGATCGGAGGTGACGTTTTCATATCCAGGTCCCGATGGGATGTAGACAGAGCATGCAAACTCACGACCGTGAAACTCGTTAACCATCAGACTCTCAAAGGCGTATGCGATTGGGTTGAGGTAATTGACCCAGCGCAGGAAGACCGCCATGTCGCGGACGGGAATGGCGAAACCAGTATAGACCACCAACAGGAGGATCAATACAGCGGCGGGCGCCATGGCTTGGGCGATGGTGCGTGAGAAGGCAGCAATGGTACGGAACATCATAGACATGCAGAGCGTGACTGTGAACGAGAAAAGCAGGAAGATGAAGAAGTGATCGGCCTCGCGCCGAAGGTTGGCCATGAAATATACTGTTGTATTGAAACTGAACGTCACGATAATTTTCGACGGGAGATCACATATCATTGATGAAACGGCTTCGGCAAACGGATGATAAAGAGCATATTGCGTGTGTTTTTCGACGATGGGGCGTTGGGCGTAAAGAGTGAGAATCTATGATCAAAGTTAGAATTGCCCCAGCAACCATGCAGATGTCCACCGGAGTACGTACTTCCAAGATACTAGAAAAAGCGTTCATCAGAACCGCGAAAAACAGCAAAGCTCCCCTCAAGAAGAAACTAGAGGTGTTATCTTGAAGATTGTAAAAAACACTACCAACGATCAATCCAATGATCATGTTCCCGAATACCGTATTGCAAAAGTTTGTCATATCACCCCTCAGCCGCTGGAAACCACGCCGTATACACAGCTTGATCTGCATGGGTACTGAGATGGTGTAGGGAGACTCAACCCGCATTCTTTTCGCCTGTTGGGCTGCTCTTGACTGCTTGAACTTCTCCAACTGCTCGCCGTCGACCGGGTACTGTTGCTTGTAGGAGTCAATATCCTGCAGAAGCCTCTTGCACTCTGCACTCTTCCTCCAGACATCTGCAAACTCATCGGGAGTACGGGGCACCCTGTTTTCGAAGCCTGGCTTGACCTCACGTTCGCTCGGGCTGGTCAGAGATGTAAGGAAATCTGCGGTCGTCTGTCGTTGCGGGCAGTGGAAACCCATATTTGTGAAGAAGGCCTTTGCGCTCTCTGTGCGGCCAAAATAGATCTGTCTACCCTCGTAGAGCACGATAACTTTATCAAACAACTAAGAATCTTTAGCTTCAAAAATACCTCAAAAGGTTCTGCCGAGACTATTTTACCTCATAGGAACTCTGGGAAGCCTGGTACATGGACACCAGCATCGTTGATCCCGCTAGCTCACTCTGCAGTCTCAAGGTCTTGACAAACTCGAGTGCAGTAGCACTGTCCAGACCTCTTGTGCTGTTATCCCAGCATTGCAGCGGGCTCCCGCCAAGAGAGGCCTCCGCAATACTGACTCTCTTTCTCTCACCACCACTCACACCTCTGACAAAGTCATCTCCGACCTTAGTGTTGAAGGTGTGGGAGAGGCCAAAGACGGCCATGACAACGTCTCGCATGTGATCACTGTACTGTTCACGAGTTATACCGGGGAAACGATTGCGAGGGGCGCGGGTTTGTGCAGCAAAAGAGAGCGTCTGGCCGACTGTCAAGTGGGGGAAATGGACATCTGTTTCGGCGTTGTAAATTGCTTCACCGCGGAAGTTGTTGTGCATCATTTCACGTGGGATTCCTATCATTGACCCATGTTAATATCTGTATCCTACACCTTTTTTGAAGACTATTCGTTTACTAACCTTGATATTCGACCTCCGATTCTGAACCAACATACAGACCATGAGTGCGCCCAGCAATAGTCTTCAAGAAAGTTGAACAACCACTATAAACCACCCTCAATTAGCACACATCTCCAAGCTGCAGCATCAGTAAATCAACGACTTACCTTCCAGGCCTTCCCAACACCACCAGCATCTCTCCGTTCTTCACAACCCCATCAAAATCTTTCAAGATCTGAATCTTTGTCTCGCCCTTATGTCTATCCCCAGAAAATATCTTCGCCATCCCGCTCACCGCATCTCTCCACCCATTGGACACATCCTTCTGATAATCCAGCGCACTTCCAAACCCATGGACAGACAAGTTTTTAAACGTGACACCCGCCGTTCTATTCGGATATTTCTCTGGGTCTCTGTCTTGCAAATGCATCATTGTCTTCACCCACGCCCTTGGGTTAAACTTGCCCGAGCCTGGCTGCAGCACCGGGTTGTCCGAGTTGAACGGACTCTCAACCTCACCATCTTTTGGCACCGTGTATGTAGAGAGTCTGGAGAAGCGTCGAGCGAGCTCAATGATTTCGTTTCTTGCTGAGGGATCTATTGTAGAGTGCCGGCGCGGGTGTGAGTGAATGTCTTCGTAGCCGTGACCGGAGGGGGATGGCGTGACGGTTCCGCTGTTGTATGAAACTCCATCGGCTTCGTCTTTTTCGACACGTAGGGCGTCCGTCGTGGAGCCTGAGGGGGGACGGGTCTTTTCAGACTCGCTGGCCATTGTGAAAGGAGGTAGCTTGGAAACCACCTAGTAGTATTGAATACTTGGTGATATGAGGAGGAAAAAAATCGAATTCAAAGAATGCGATGTTTATTCAGCGCACAATTGATCTGAAGAGAGAATCAGCTTGAGAAAAGCCGGCCGTATTATTATGGTCAGATAACGACCTTTTCCTTAGCTGATGCTCAACTGCAGAATACGTATAAAAACCCAAACCGGGGGACATTGGACCTTTTGTAGCTACATATCACACTATCAAGAAGCACGTGTACATACGTCTTCCTAGGCCTTCCGCAAAATTCTTACCGGGTCGTAGGTCTTCCGGCGGGCTTCTCAGGCTCAAACCTCACTACTTGGCTTCGTACCTTTGTCTTCCTCATTTGGCCGAGAATTTTTCTTTCATTCCTGAGCTGCTGCTGCTATAGTACGCCCCCAACTAATTAACTAACGAGGGGCAATTGGAGCAGGGATTATAGGTATCATCCTATAGCGCTATGTATGTAAATAAGCCATCATCATTAGACTACCGGCCAGTAGGACGGGACCCTTCACGCAGCTATGCAAGATCAAATGTCTCTATCCAATGCCAGTAGAGTAGAATGTGTAGATACTGGAGGTACATGTGGAGCTTTTTTTTCTTTCGTTTTTTTTTTCTCTACGTAAAGTAATAAGCAGGCATGCACACCGTATTCGCATTCGTTGTAGTGCAAATTAAGAGGACACAAACCATATCAGGAGAAGACGTTATCATTATCACACTAGCCTTCGTCACTGTAGGTACTTTACTACCAACCTGACGGGCTGCTTACTATCCTCTACCCCCACACCAGGAACGTCGAGGGAAAGAACTTTAATTGATTAAGCTGCCCAGTCTGCACACGGATTTTGTGCGTCCCGAGAACAGTATTGCCTGATGCTCGGCTAAATTTCTCTCCGGTCGGAAACAGCGTAATTGTGAATCCTTTCACTGTTACTCGCAGCCCAATTACGCCAAATGTGATTGGGGGTTATAAGCAGGAAAGACGCGGAAGCCTGTCTGTGCTCAAGCTGTCCCTCAGTTTCTGTCTCCTATTTCTTCGCAACCTGTGATCTGAACTCTTAGGCGGGGTGGGTGGAACAGGCAGGGTACATGTAGGTAGGTAGGGCTGAGGTGAGTTGAAACGTTAGTAAGTTATCTAGCACCATATCTAATCTTCCCTACTCCCCACCGTCGGCCAGCTGCCGCGCCCTGCTTCGTGCTTGCTTGACAGACGGCTAGAGATAAAGTTAACGGATCCGCAAAAGCTAAATGACTGCTCCAGACGGCAAACAAGCGTTTCCCCCAGTTGGAATTTTAGGAATCTCGCTTGGGTATATATGTTGTCACTGGACAAATCATTTGTTTCGCACCTTTCCTCTCCTCTCTGCGCGGCATGCAGGCAGGTCCAATGTAATCATCATGAGCATGAGCGACTTTAACCTTCCACCAACAACAGCCAGACCAGAAGTTTCTCTCCTCCCTATGATGCTCGCTCACATGCGAAAATACGAAAATGCAAAAAAACAACTTGCCATCTATTGCCCAGTACCGCCACGGAGGTTTAGGTAGGTAGAGCGTCGGATTTTGGGGTACTTGGCTTCCGCCATCGTCTCTGTGTTAGGTTGCCCGGGAACACAAAGTTCCGTGTGGAAATCTCGGAACAGCGACTTTCCGGTACCAATTGAACCAAGAGTTTTCTCACTGACCACCTTGTTTTGTCCGGCCACCACAAGAAAGGACAGGAATTAGTTACTGGGCCGTACCAGGTCAAGCGTCTTGGGGCAGCTTGCCACAGATCAACCAAGATTCCTTGGTCCTGGTTGGCTTGATACAAACCCTGTCAAGACAACGATTGTAGGCAACCAACATCAGTTATTATATATATATAATAACCTGCGCAGAGAGTTGTTCTCACAGTACGCAAATGGAGAAACCAGGAAACCAAATTTGCAAGTCAGATGTTTTCTCGAGTCCCCTTTCTGGGTAAATCAAAACATAATTTTTGATATCAATGTCTGCCGAATCTTATTGGTAAGGCTTCGCGCAGCGACATTATGCACAACTTCCTGTACTTATCCGATGACACAAGATCCGTACATCAACCCGCGCCGGGAAGGAGAAGCTGCAATCCGATCCAAAGTAGGATATCAGGTTCACATAACTATATGTCAATAGTGGTCACATATGATCTCGCACGCGTGATCCAGGCAAGGTGTAAAGTACACATATTTAATACATATCTTCTTAGTTGAGGGACCATCTCCAGACTCCGTCCTGAGCTAGAGATACTCCCGGGACGTAACCAGGCAACAGTAAAACCGTGTCAAATTACCAGTCGAGAAGACGGACCGTAACGGAGCTGCGCCCGGGCCTGATATGCATATCAATATCAACAAGTCCCTTAACCATCGAGTTCCTAAATTAGATACTGAGAGGGTTTCGTATTCACTGCACTTTTAACCTTGATTGTCTAGAACGTACTCTCCTCTACGTAAGGTTCTGCTAGTTGATTCCGGGATTCAGTGTTTCCGGCCCGCCAAGTAATAGATATCGAGACGTCAGGCTAGGTACGAGATGCGCACATATCGAGGAGTCTCCAATCTATGCAGGAGTTCTTCTGGTCCTCCGGGCTCCGGGTGATCAGCTTTCTGGTCATATATTAAGGATTTGGGAAGATAACTAACTCTCACAAATTTGTCTCAGTTAGATAGGTGCATGGCAGTTCAAAGTCAGATAACTCAATGAGTGGGAGGGGACGTTCATGTAGTCCATTCATAGGTGGTTACGAGAGCAGAATATCATTTCCATTGTGATAAGTAGTACTCCAAGGTGTATCGAAAGAAGGGCGGAGGAAAGTAACTTCTCCTGCAAGGGACCATTGATCACTGTTGACAACATACTAAATATCCGTACGTGTGTCCTGAATAGATGTACGCGGATAGGCATACTCCAAGTAATAGAATCAAAAAGCGCAGGCACCACATCGCTGTAACAATGTGTCCACATTGAAACTTAATTCCGTACATACATGTACGCCGCCTCACGAAGTCTCGAGACACTCACATACGTGTAGACATACATTTCCCTACATGTCTCCGCCCATCTCCACGGGTAGCTCAGTGCTGTCCAACACTTATGCTTCCCACATCAAACCTACATGACCCCAAGAGACTCACATAGATCAGATAATACACCAAGTAATTTACGCTCTATTCAAGCCTTACATACAAGTAGACACCTAAGAAATCGTTTCATATACAAGCCTCTGATAAGCTACGTACTTGGACATATGTGAGGTAATCATGGCTTAAGCCGTTAATAAAGGCCTTTCAAGAACGAAAACTCCTCGGTGCTTTCCGTTCTATGTTATAAAGCAATGCTTCATAACCGAAACAAACACCCCCAACAAAGACCCGCCCCGCGACACGCGTCCCCCAAGCTAAAGGCTGGCCAGTCTACGATAATCTTATCTGGCGCTCACCAACTATCACTCGATCACGTGTCAATCACAGAACATCACTCGTTTATATCAACATCTGTGCCTTTCAGCCCTGACTTGGCTAGCCAATCACCCATCTCACATCATCACAACAACATTCCTCAGCTGCATTCCGCCAGCAAGCCACCAAGATAAGCCTATGACTCTCGGACCACTGTTAACCGGGGAATAGCCTTGGCTGAACCGGTAGAGTAGAAATTGAGGGGTTGGACAATTGTACAACTCTGCCCTTAATATGGGGGATCCTTGGCATCGAGGTAGGAAAGGCCTTATCGGAACCTGTGGGTGGGGTCCCGTCATGGCCAGGATCTGACCAGAGAAATATTAACCTACAAGCCAATGTAAAATACGATGATCGAGATGCGCTCCCAGAGAGCTGGGTGGGGGGGGGGGTGCTTAGGGACTGGAAATACGGCTTAGCTTATTGCAATTGGCCGTAAGAATACGGAGTTGTGAGTAATATCTGCTGGTGAGATTTTCCCTTTCAATGAGTCTTCACGAAATGTCCTATAACTACGAAATATCTTGAGCAGTGCAAATTACTTTTAGCAAGGGATACGAAGTACCTGGATCGGATATATAGCGCTAGTGAAAATGTATGCATCAAATATTACGGGAGCGGGATATCGTTCTAGGACAAAAAGAAAATAACCTTTATTTACAGATATATTCGATAGGTTCGAAGCCTCTAGGGAGTCTCGCTCGTGAGCGGGATAGAAGGTGCATGTTGAAGCCCCGAGGCCGGGATGAGCAATTGAGGTTGTAATATTCAATATGGTTCTCTGACGAATAAGACTAGCAGGGAAATGATGCATCCCTTCACAATACGGAAAACCTGGTCGGTAGGGCAAGCAATATCAACGATCCATATATGAACCCGAGCCAATAGCCTTATAAATGCAATATGCAGATTAGGAATACAGATCTGTGCCGTATTAGTACGCAATTTCGAAATCCAAGACCTATAAATCATACGCCCTGTTGCTGTCATCTGGAAGTTTATCGATTGGTTGATTTATAATAGAAAGGAATTAAAAAGATGATATGGGGGCGCAATACACATCAGGATGTTATTTGTGGACAGATCAGTAGGAACTGCATTACCATCGGAATGGGTAAAAAAAAATATTTTTATCTAAACCCCATTATTTTTTCGTCATAAAATCCTCTTTTAAGTTTTTTTTTGCAAATTCCGAATCATCACTTTGTGGTTGGTGAAAAAGACTCGAACGGACCCTAAGATCTAAGGTATCTGAAATTCGGTTTCTTACCTGTGAACATCGTGGTCCCTGTTAGGTTGTAAAGGGCGGATTCCAGGTAGTACCTCATTCCTAAAAGATCGGATAATGGCCAGAAGTTCCTTATCATAACTCTCGTAGTTACATTCAGCTGGGGAATGTTTCTTCGAGAAAAAGACCACAGGGTATAGGATTCCTTAAGCATCGTATTGGGACAAGACGGCGGCGGAGACGTAGTCGGAGGCGTCAGTTTCCACAACCAGGCTCTTCACACTAAGGGCGACACCTTCTCCTCACAGCATAGGGTGGTGCAATTCTCAGTTTCTACCAGGCCAAGGGATAAGTAAGTGTAAGTAAGTGTAAGTACCGGGTGCATGTAGACATGTGTGTGTATTTACATGTTTTGTATATACGTCTGTACTTTACCTGTAGCTACGTAACCATCAAGTGAAGCAAAGAACAACATGGCAGAAGAACAATAGTATATATAGATAGAATAGGCGATCACTTGAATAGAATCATCATTCTCCTTCTGATACAAAATCATACTCCCCATACACCACCGTCATCACCATTCCACCATCACATTCCATCACTACTACTATTACTACAACTCCCACCACTTCCACCACCATGACCGCCATGCCACGCCAAAACTGCTTCGAGACCTCCCTCATCTCTAGCTCTTCCCTTCCTACCACCGTTTCGCCCATCTGTCTCATCAACTCCTTCCTAGAGCAGCGCACCACCTCCAAGTACACGGACACCCTAAAACTCGACTGCTCTCCCGCCGTCTACGAGCGCATCTGCGCCGCCTTTCCCTCCCTACGCCTAAGCTACTTCTACCCGCGGCGGCTCCTGATCATCACGGCACCCGGTAGGCCGCACGAAGTCGTCAGCGAAAGGCTCGAGCGCGGCATCCGGCAGGATCTCCACGACAGCGGCTTCTATGGCCCGGGTGGAGCCTGGAAAAGGTGGGCATCACGAGGTCCACTGATCATCTTATTAACGATGGGGAGGGGGGGAAGAAGGGGAGCGTGCTGCAGCCGGACGGCGGTTTGGACATCTTGGGGCTCGACGACCCGTTCCTTGTCATTGAGGTGGCCGACACGCAGAACGGCGAGGAGGCCAGGGCAAAGGCGGAGGTGTATTTGAAGCGTGGGCGCGTGCGGTTTGTGGTTATTGTGGATATGGTGAGGAGTAAGCAGAAGAAGATGAAGATTGGCGAGGGTGAAGCTGCCGCCGGTAGTGCTGGTGGAGTCCCTAACGTTGACGCCGAAACCATCCCCGCCCCCACCCCATACGCGCAGGTCCTTGTCTCGGTCCTCTCCCGCACCCGCACTTCGCCGCGCCGTGAGGTGGTCACGCTTGTGAGCCCCACCGAGGTGTGGCCGGCGCCTCCGCCGCCTGAGAGCGCGTTCTCGTTCACGTGGGAGGACATGGGAATGAAGGGGTATCCGGAGGTGCTGCGGGGCCGCGTGATTAAGGTCGGCTGGATGTGGCTGCATGAGTTCCTCGTTGAGCAATTCCAGGTACAGGAGGCGGGGAGCCTCCCGATTCCGGATGACGAGAGTGGTGAGTGGGAGGAGGAGACCGAGGAGGATGAGGGGGGTGGGGGAGAGGATGAGGCGGAGGCGGAGCAGCAGAGTGGGAGTGATGGGAGTTATCGCCCGTCGCAGTAAAAGCATGGGATATTCCTTGCTTTTTTCTGTCCGTTGTTTGTATCGGCGCATGTGTCTTTGTATCGGTGGTGGTGGCTTTCTCGACGAGTGCTGACTCCCTTTATCTCTATACGGTTTCTCTTTCCGTGACATGGCAAGTGCGCTGTATCATTCTTGTTTTTATATCATCTAGGTTTCTGGGGCGCTCGGGTTTGCTGGTTTGGTTGCATATTCTTTGTCGGAAGCAAAGCGTCCTTTACATGATGGGTTGGACGTGAAAACCTGAGTTGATGGAAATGTGTAAACTGTATGTCTTTAACTCTTAGGAATGGTGCTCATGATTATATTCGAATGAATATAAACAATCGACATCGCATCAAGAAAGAGCCCTGGCCCTAGAATACCGGCAGCTGCATGCTCCAAATGGTCAGTGTTGGGCTATATACTTAGGATCCAATACGTCTAATTACCGACTGACGTCAGCCAGCAGGTTTGCTCCCCATCATGACGCCTCCCATCTGAAGAGAGGCTGAAACGGTCCGGACCATGCATGTATTCGTAAAAGAAGAAATGAATCATGAGATATGACTCGTACCCACCACCCCACTGGTCAGAACGACTGATATTACTGCTAATGACGAATCCTCGACCGCTCTTTTTCAAGCCATGTTGACTGTACTTTGCTGGCCAGATGAGTATATGTATGGACCAAATGGACCAGAACGACCGGATGGTGGACCAGTCTGGACTGGATGAAATGAAATGTACATGTACGTACAGCCGGACTGTTTCAACTCTGGCACTCCGACTCCGAGCCATCACAAGCATCCTTACCCGCACCAAAAAACGAACGCAAGCCGTACCGCCATCACCTCCCCCCCCCCCCCCCCCCCGCGTGGGCCCAACCAACCCCCCTTTAGAACCCCCGAAGCAAGCAACACTTGTTCTAGCGGGTCTCATAGCATGACACACCTCCGCGGCCAACCCGTCCATCCAATGCTCCAACACCTCAAGTCGTCTGAAAGAGGGCTCATGCTCTTGAGCATGTTGGTTGGCCAGGTGGGTAGGGGGGATGACGGTGGCGGAGTTGGAAAGGGTTCACTACGTTCATATCGTTGCCATGATTAACCACGAGCGAGATGTAACTAGCGGAAGCAATCTTTTCGAGTCGAAATAGTAGTTCTCAAGAATTGATAAGCGTCTCTTTCTATGAGTTTCGAATTGTTGAGTGGGAGCGACGACCGTTTAGTTAAGCCGACGGAACGGTGCAAGGCTGCACTTGGCCGTGCAATGTGTGTAGCGACTACTAAGTTGAGTTTAAGTTGAAGTTGCCAGTCGCCCCAGTCGGACTGCAGTCGACCTGCGCCGTCCGTGGACGGCTTGGCGTTTCCAGCCAAGCCAGTCCGTCCAACGATCCCGTCGACGGGCAGCATAAAGTACTTAGCCCGGTAAACTACCAAGGGATGTTTTTATGTTTGATTTCCGCGTTTGGAGGTAAGGTACCCTCTTCAACGATGGAAGAGTTGAAATTGTGTTTTGAATGCCTAAGCTTGATCGCACCCAGACTTACTAGGCCAAAATAGCGCAATGAATATTTCTTGTTCCTGAACTTACTGTTTAAACCGTCCTTTCAGTCGACTGCGGACGGACTTGACAGTCTTCTGCTTGGCAGTCCGTCCATATTGCAGTCCAGGACTGGTCCGCTGGTTGTCTAAGGTAGTACTAACTAGCACGATCAAGCTACAGATAAAATCTCACTTATCTTTACTCCCAGGAAGTGTTGGCTTCTCGGCGCCGCACCGAGTCATTTCAAGCGCAGACGATCATTGATACCCGGCGCCGCAATCAGCCTCGCAGGCTTGCACCCGTAATCTACACCTCAGTCAACCTACGATTGCGCAATTGCGGTTACCAAAGTCTATCGAAAATGATGTCTACAATTTATATACGCTTGCACCCTCCCATCATGGGCACTCAACCCCTTTTCCGGCGGAGGGCCCCAAAGTCAACACACTCATGAGCGAGACCTAAGTTCCAGCGGTAGCAAAAAAATATCAATGAGTTCAGTACCCAGGATTCCCGCATGCAGTACTAACTAGGCGATATGTGCCTTGCGCATGGCAGAGCGGACGGGATGCCCCATTTTCAACATTCTACGACCGAACACGTGATTCCTGTGATCTTTTTTCAATTTTTGAAGGATCGAGACCTTTAGCAGAGAAAACAACGGCTTGCTGTCCATGATCTGAATGACTCCATCGGATGAATACGAAAGTTTTCCCGAGTCTTCTTTTCTACTCCACCTCCTGTTGTCATAGCCTCCGGGCTGCATTACAATTAATGAAATTATCAATCATTACTCCAACTCCTGTTACTTCTGGAACATACAGAATCACTCGCGTCTTGAAAGGTCTCGATACTACGTGATCGTTCGTTTCACCCTGTCTCAAGTGAGGACCACAAAGTCTCAAGACTTCATAACCCGTGTCCAACACCAAGAGAAAACCACCGTCAGTCTTGAAACAGCTGCGAGAGAGGGAAATTCTCACCGGGGGCGTCATCAGTTCTCTCTTAGTTTATGTCCCTCCCACCACCACCACTACAACGGGAACGGGGCGTCTAATTCCGTCACCCACCAATATCAATATCAATACCGTGACTACATACATATATCAAAAATACTCAACATCAAGATGTACTCGGCAAATACTCAGCACCCAAGCAAGGTACTCTACAACAGTACTCAAATCAAGCATAACCCGCTTCAGAGCGGAAATCTGCACGGGCACATAGATTGACTATGTACTTCAACTATTACGCATCAATATGGCCCCGGATTCCCAAATTCAGCGCTGCCCGAAGGCCACCCGGGAATTGAAAACCCGTTGCGCGGGGGTTGCCGGGGCGTCAACTATCATACGTTTCTCTCTGTAGCCATGGGTAAGGGACAGCCAGAAAGGTATCCCCGATGTAGTATTGGGAAATGGGGGGGGGGGGGGTGGGAACTATCTGTTTTCGTTTCAACGTTCGGCTTAACGGAGCTGCTATTCCTCTCTCTACTGGAACGGTTATATACCTTGTAGATGACAATTTATTTTTATTCGACAATGTGGTACACACTAAAAGCCATGATATCAAAATCTAAGCCCGCCTCATGATCCTGAATTCTATTCATATCCTCCACATAAAAACCTAATCCTAACTAATTATCACGATCGATATCGAAGCTTCCCAATGTACCTACTCATCTTTTCCGCCAGATGTTTTTTTTTGCCCCTACCGCAATTATTGTAAATTACAACGCATGCCGGACCATGTATGTAGGAGCGGGCCGGTATCTAGAGTCCGGATCAGAGCGGGCATCAAGGATTGTTTCTCCACTTTTTTTCCGGGCCCGGCTTGACAGTCGAGTGATATCACATGCGACAGAAACCAATTGACGAATACATGCACACAACAAGGTAAAACATTCTAACTACAGTAAAGGAAAGGAAGCTATTTTATTCTAGTCGTCAGGTATCATCACCACGTACACCGCACCAGTACCTACCTACCTACCTCCCCCGCAATGGATACACATAATACAAAAAGCCAACAACAAAAAAAACGACAAACAAATGCAACATTTTTAAAAACGGCCCCTCCCGCAACCTAAACCCCCCCTCCCCCCCCCCAAACCTCTACATCTACAACTTCGCCCTCCCCCTCCTCCTCCCCCTCCTCACCCCCTCCTCCCCCACCACCACCCCCTCCTCCCTCCCCCTCACAAACAGCTCCCTCCCGCACCTCGCCGCCAGCCCGAGGACCCGCGTCGACACGCTCGCATTATCCCTGCGATTCTTCCCCTCCCTCCTCGACACCGCAATGCGCTCCACAAACGCCCACAGGCGCCCGCCCTCCTCAATCCGCCCCTCAGCGCCCCACCCCGGCATCCACTCCGGCGAGATATGGCAGCGCGCGGCGGCCTTCGACCCGCGCACCAGCAGCACGCCCTCCTCCTGGAAGCGCTGGAACGCGTTCTTGAGCGTCTCCTTGTTGACGGCCTCGAAGTAGCTCAGGTCGCCCTGGTGGTAGAGCGTCTTGCCCATCTGTGTTTTTGTTTGCGCGCAGGTTAGCGTCTCTCTCTCTCTCTGTCAGGGGGGAAAAAAAAAAGGGGGGGGGGGGGGGGGAAGTACGAGCTGCGCCATATCCTGCGCCTGCGTGAGGCCCACCCACACATCGTCCATGCCCGGCGGCGGCGTCAGGCCGATGATGGCCACGCCCGCTAGCCAGCTGCTCTCAATGAACGGCCAGATGAGGAAGCAGTAGAAGTCGAAGTTCTCTCGTCCACACCTGCGCTCCTGCTCGCTGAGCTCCACGTACCCGATTCCCGCAGCCGCAGCAGCGCCGTCAGCGGTGGTAGCAGCGGTGGTGGTGGCGGCGCCGACAGTGATGACGCCGTCGTCCTGCAGCCCGCGCACCGTCTTCTCGAGGTTCGTGCGGATGCCCTCCGTCGGAAACACAAACTCGCCGCGGAACAGCAGCGACAGGAACGCCACCTGCTCCATCAGATTCCCATACTCGACGCGCTGATTCGAGGGCCCGCCGCCCTGCTTGACACGGGTATACATGGCGGCCGCCACAATCGTCTCCGAGATAAACAAGTGTATGACCATATTGCGATAAAACGACAACTGGAACCTGTCCACGGCATAGAACGTCTCCTCCGCCAGCCCATCCACGCGCCCCACCAGCCCGCCCAGCACCTCCAGCCCGCGCTCCACCACCATCTCCGTCTCCAGCGCGCCAAAGTCCGCCACGCGCCCGCCCTTGGCCCGGATCCGCCCCCGCAGCCACTCGATGCGCCGCACAAGCTCCGTCATGCCCACGCCGCGCCCGCGCAGCGTCAGCAGGATCGTGCCGATCAGCGACGTCGGCATGACCACCGACACGCGGTTGATGTCGCCGAGCACCTTGTAGCCCAGCGACCGGAGCACCTTGAGCCGCACCTCCGGCGCATCGCGGTCCACCTCCGCTGCCGCTGCCCCCGCCGCGCCGGCCGCCTTCACGATCTGCGACTCGACAAAGTCGCGCAGCGACCACGGCTCGTGGAAGCGCACGTCCACGCGGCCCATGTTCAGGTTGAGGAACTTTGAGCTGCCCAGAAAGTCCCACAGGTTCTCCTTGACCTTCGGGATGCCGAGCAGCTCGCTGACGTAGGCCTCGGTCTCGATGACCTTGTCGTACTGCGTGCTGACGGGGATCACGTATGCGTCCTTGACGCGGCCGCTGAGTATCGAGTCCAGTATGAAGCTGAGGATGCCGAACTTGGGGGGCAGCAGCTTGCCCGTGCGGGAGCGGCCGCCCTCGATGAAGCACTCGAAGTTGTAGCCCTGCGTCAGCAGCGTGTCGATGTAGGCCTGCACGGTGGCCGTGTAGACCTCGTCGCCGGCGAAGGTGCGGCGGATGTACATTGCGCCGGCGTGTTGGAGGAAGGGGCCTACGAGCGGGAAGTTGAGGTTGTCGCCGGCGACGACGACGGGGAGGGTGAGGCCGAGGCGGTAGCAGATTACTTGCAGCGAGACGTAGTCGATGTGCGAGCGGTGGCAGGGGAGGAAGATGAGGGATTGGTGGCGGGGGGCGGCGAGCGTGGCGATGTGGCGGAGGTGGTGGATCTCGTGGGTGGAGACGTGGATGCCTTGGTGGTAGGCACGGGCGAGGAGCTGGACGACGAGGAAGTAGGCGCCCTGTGGAGGGGGGAGTTAGTGTGAGTGACCGGGTGGGGGATTGTGGTTGGGGTGAGAGCTTGTGATGGGAGCGGGCGGATCAATCATTGACAGGCAGAGTGCAAACCCATGACCGGGCAGCTGTACCGCAAGAGCCAATGATCAACCCCCCCGCGAGTCCAACCCCCTCCACAACAAAAAACAGAAATACCCATCACCTACCCTAATAAAGCCCTTACTCTCAAACTTACAAATCATGCCATCCACAATCCTCTCCGTCACCTCCCCCAGTTGCGCCTCCACCTCCCTCCTCCTCTTCTCCCTCCTCCCGCTGCCATCGCCCTCAAACACGCCCATCCCCTCCTCCACCGCCACCCGTCTCTCCGCCAGCTCCCTCAACTTGCGCACCAGCATCGGGCTGCGCAGCACGCGCGCCTTCATCTCCTCGCTGAAGCCCTTGTAGAACACCTTCTGCCCGATGGGGTCGTCGTAGGCGCGCCAGCCCGTGCCGCTGTAGTGCAGCGAGATCTCGCGCAGGAACGAGAACGGGTCGTCGCGGAAGTGCGTGAAGCTGGCGGTGATGAGGTCGCGCGACTCCTCGGTTGTGAGTAGTGGGCATGATTGGGGGGCGTGGGGCTGGGAGGGCACGAGGGGCGGGTGGATGAGGGCCGTGGGGGGGAGGATGTCGATGTCGGGGGCGGAGGGGGCGGGGGGGGGCGGGGGGGGCGGGGGGGGGCGGGGGTGGTGCTGGGGGTGCTGGTGGGAGGGGGGGCGGTGGGTTTGGGCATTTTGCGGGGAGGGAGGGGTGCAGTGTCAATTGGAAGGGGGTGGAGTGGGGGGTGGAGGTGGAGGTGGCGAGATCGAGTCAGGGCGAGAGCTGGGGGGTTTGTGTATAGCAATTGGCAGGAGTAGGTAGACCTGTGTACTGCGAGAGATAAAGAGTTGATTCCCCAGCCAGCTGCTGCACTGTGATCGAATCTCGCTGCGGGGAGAGGGGGAGAGAGGGGGAGAGAGAGAGGGGGGGAGAGAGAGGGGGAGAGAGAGAGGGAGAGAGAGAGAGAGAGAGGAGTCGGAGAGAGGAGTCGGAGAGGAGTCGGAGAGGAGTCGGAGAAGAGGCGCCCTCGCTCACTCGCTCCGAATCCCTCGGGCGGGCGTGCGTGCGTGCGTGGGTGCGTGAGCTGAGAAATCGAACGAGAGCTGCTCGGCTCTGCGTTGCCGCGTGCGAGGGCCACGCCAAGTCTCGCTCCACGCACAGGAAAGCTCAATATCCACGAATAGCTGCAATCTACAACACCGAGCATCTACAGACTCTGCACACACAAGCACACACAAGCACACACAGGCACCGCAATGGACAACCCCCAGAAGTCGCTCGAAACCACCCGCCAGCGCTTCAACCAGCTCGCCTCCGCGCTGCGCACCTTCAACGACGTGCTGCACCACGGCCCCGCCGACGCCCTCCCGCCCTGGTACCCCCCTCCCCCTCCCCCTCCCCCCCCCCCACTGACACCGCACAGCTAACACACCCCCCCCCCCCCCCCAGGACCACCCTGCAATCCCACTTCAACGTCCTCTCCTCCACCCTCGACTCCCTCTCCCACACCCTCACCACCCACTTCCCCCCCGCCACCACCACCCCCACCGCCCTCGTCTCCTACCCCCTGCCCTCCTTCCCCGCGCCCACCCAATCCATCCTCCTCTCCATGCTCTGCAACAAGAAGCCCAACGCCACCGTCTCCACCTGGCACCACGCGGCCCTCCACGACGCCGCCGTCTCCGCGCTGACCCCCGCCGACAAGCGCGCGCAGGACGAGTTCTGGGCGAGCGTCTACGACGTCGTGCAGGAGATGCAGGTCGAGCGCAGCTGGTACGACGATCTGTATACGGCCGAGGAGCGCGAGGCGGGGGTCGAGAGCGTGGTGACGGGGTTGGAGATGGTGGGGGGCGTGCCGGTGAGGAGGGGGGAGGGGGAGGGGGGGAAGGGGCAGGGGCAGGGGCAGGTGCCCGGCGCGCTAAGGTTGGAGAGTATGTTGAGGTTTATGGAGACGGGGGTGGCGCCGAGGGATCAGGCGCCGTTGCCGAGTGGGGTTGTGGGGCTGAAGCGGTAGGGGGAGGGGGGGGGGGTTTCTTTGGGGAAGGTTTTCTTTGGGGGCGGTTTGGGTTTGGGATTGTGCTGGCATGGGGGGTTTAGTAAAAGTATTAATATCAATTGTAGATTGTCTTCAGTAATTGCTTGGCTCTTGTGAGATTGGTACAATTTACAGAAACTTGCTTACGGCTTTTGTAGCTTCAATAGCTTCAATAGCTCTCTCTAGCTCTGACTATCTAGCTCTACCAACCCGCCAACCCAACCAACCAATCCCAATCCCACCACCCACCCACCCCGACTAATCCCACCCATCAATCCCCGCCCACTTATCCCTCCCCATTTCAACCTCACAGCCTATACACCACTCACCAGCCATCACTCGAATCTTCGTGCTTTCGGTGGCCTGGGAGTTAAATCGCCGGGTCCGCCCGCAACACGCACGCAGAGCCTATATCTCACGGATTTCATACTTGCCATGCAATCACCGCTTTCCACGGCTACATGCATACATGTACATACTTATGAGGGTCCAGAACATGTTCGTGCCACCTACATATTTTAATCTTGGTCCATAACGGAACACAGACACAGAATTAAGCTGCCCCCCCCCCATTGACTTGGGAGCTGCGCCGGGGTTCGGTAGTGTATGGCCGCTCGACTCTAGAGTCGCCAGAACGTCGTGGAGGCAGCTAGCTTTGTGGGTATGTGTGTGTGGACCTCAGGCTGGAATATATGTACCTAGCCTGCACGTAGCCTGTATAAGCACTGGGTATATATACATGTATATATGGATGTTGTCGCAGCTGCACGTACTGGCCTAGTATCAATAATAATGCATTAATGGATAATTATAGTATAAATTTGGTAAATGGAAAAACAATATGGTTTTTCGGTTATGTAAACGAGTGTTTGATTAAATTAACACTCGACTACAAAATTATATGTGTTTTTAATCAAACAATCGGCTCGTAATTACAGAGCATAAGCTGTTTGAATTAAACGAAGGGCTAGTTTGTTTAAACCAAGTGGTGGTTTTTACTTTAAACCGACTGGTGGTTTCCTTTAAACCGACTGGTAGTTTACTTTTAAACCAAATGGTGGTTTGTTTAAAACACCAGCGCTAAGCGGCAATCCTCGCCCATCTTAAAACAACATCGGTGTTTATTTTTAAACACCGGCCCGCCGGATGCACTACAGGGACTGGATATATGAGAAGCTAGCTGTCTGTCTGGCCAGCTGCAGCTAGTATTTTTTGGTCATATCTGCACTAATTAAGCTACGTGTGGCGAAGCCTGGTCGACTAACATATACACAAACCACATAAATGCCATACCTCCTTTTTTCGTCTACTTTTCAGCTTCAGCTTCATACATATAGCACAAATTAGCGGCCAGACCCAGCTGAGCTTACATACATGTATGTAGTTCTCTCAGCCCCCCCCCCCCCCGCCCCCCCTCCCCCCCCGGGAGAACAGCTCCCTCACCTATCTCCAACACCGGCCCCATCCCCCCACAAATCAGGGGGGGCGCTGGCAGCGCATCACACACCATCACTCGCGCTAGTCAAACTAACCAGCACCCTAGCACTGCATTTCCCAGCACATATATGCGAGACCGAGAATGTACTGTGATGAGCTTAAGCTCTCTATCTCTACATAATATATCCCCATTACTCTGCTCTAGCCGTACAAATAACCCGCCATTTCTATTATAGTAGATAGCCTCCGTAACATACGTTGGATATGGATGGACATACCCAGCTCATCTTCCATCCCAGCCTCAGCCAGCCCCAGTATATATACATGTACAGCATATATATCCCCACGGCCAGCTATGCGGTCCCCCAGACAGCTGCCACGGCCCAATTTACACCTTCATGAGCTGATATCAGCGCCCCCCCCCCCCCCCCCGCGTTTAGTAACCAGTACATGTACATGTAGCCTTACCTGCCACTGAACTTGCAATTGGTTTCTCTGGCCCCATTATATATTGTTCGGAAAAAAAAGAAAAAGAAAGCTAGGGTACTCTACTCGTACTTTTTCCTGACGCTTGTGGACGCGACTGACATTGCAACGCCAATACAAAAAAAAATACGCCAAGCTCATGGTTTTGGGTGTATGCAATTAATGGCCCAGCTCAAAAACGTCAGGAAGATACTAGGTAGTACCAAATTAACGAGGTGCATGCACGGACCAAACCGCGAACCTAACCGCCTCATCCGTCTAAGGAATGAGACTTAGTAGTACCTAGTAATGCATAATGACCGGTAGAGTGATAGATGGAGGAAGAGGTTTATATCAACCCTAGGGTTAGGGTTGGTTCGTGTGTTAGTTGTTGGACCCTCGCTATATACCTCCTAGAGCTCTAGCTATTCGTTCTTCTATATAAGTAGCCCTTTTCGCGGTTGGTGGTGGTCTTCTCCGTCATCATAAGCAGTGATTCGTCTTTTCCAATCATGAAATAGCACTCGTATTCCGGGACCGCTCCGGCCTGATATACGTAAAAATGTATGGATTCCTCCTTCGAGATATCTTTGACGCTTTTACATCAATGGACTAGATAGACAACTACATTTCTGCCTTCTACCCATACAAAACAACAATAAAAAACAAAAAAACAATCCAGGCAAGCCCAATTGAACCGGCTCAAGCCCTGCAAAACTAAAATCGCAATTAACTACATCTATATGCAACTGCCCAACGCAGCCCAAAGCGGATTGATTTCACAGCTACATAGTAATAAGAAGAGAGGGCTTAACCCTTCTTCTTTGGGGCGCCCTTGCCCTTCGCAAGGCTCCGGCCATCGGCAGGGCCGGTGTATCTCTTCTTTGCCGGCGTCCCAGCGCCGAGCTTCTTCCCCGAGTTCCAGTACCAGAGCATCTGTGCCGCCAGCACAAAGTTCAGGAACGCACCGCCAAGGAAACCGTACAGGATGAGCGGGTCCTCAACCTCCGCCAGGGTCGTAAAGACACGAGCGAGCGAGCCAAAGAGGTAGTTGAACACCTATCAAAAGCACAAAATCAGCCATCGAGTACTAATTCCCTAATGGCGCATTTATACATACCGCAAACGCCGAAAGATTTCCCGTAGACTTATTCCTGGCCACAGTGATGATTTGTGGCACCTTACTCGCCAACGTCAAGGGGATAGTAGCCGCCTGCAGGTACCCCATAAGCTTCGGGTCCACCATGCCCTCGTTAAAGAGCGCATAGAGCGCGCCTGCCACCACCGGCACAAACGCTGCCGCCCACATATCCTTGCCCGAGTAGTGCAGGATCAGGACAGCAATGACCACATTCTGGACCGCGATGAGGCCAATCTCGCCATACGTGCTGATTGGGTTTCCGGAGCGAAAGTTGTACGCGAGGGTACACAAGTAGCCCGCGGTCTCGAGGGCGTATGAGGGGAAGGAGACGCCGCGGGCGGAGCCAGAATTGAGAAGCTTGATGATCTGCGGGATCTTTATGATTGTGGAGAGGGTTATGATGCCGACGCCGATTGCCTTTGAGAGGGCGAGCTTTGTGCAGGCGGGGGATGAGGCGGGGTCAAGTTTGAGGATGAGGGTGTTGTAGCAGACGGGGGTGATGAGGTCTGAGATGGGGTTTGCGATGCTTGCGGGGAGCTGTGCGGTGATGGGGGTCAAGTGTGGGCGGAGAGCGGCGAGGAGAGGCTCGAGCTGTTGCAGGACGATATCCATTGTGGGTGTATAGTTCTATAGATCTCGATATGGTACTTGATGAGTGTGTGTATATATGTGGGAGGTTGCAGGATCAGTAGTACGATGTATGGCAGAGGGCGGGGAAGAGAACAGGAAAAGGGTTGCAGTGTGAGCTCGCTCTTTTGGTGTGTGTGAGAGGTTTTGTTTTTGGTTGTTGAGGCTACATATGTAAATTGCCCATTCCCTGGGACCCGTTTTTCTTGGCAGTCTAGCTACCCGAACCAGCAAATCAATCACTGGCCCCGACAGATGTACCGACATGTACCGGGTGCCTGGCTGGCTACGTGCTAAGCAGTTCAGCTACCCCATCCACCTCAACCACATTAACGTCCACCCCACAAAACCTCAAACAGCAGTATACATAACTAGTGCCATCTGAACCTGAAACAGGGCACAAAAGAGCAGACTGTTACCAAGAGAACGTAAGCAAGCTGCGATAACCAGCTAAGGACTCGACATACAGCGAGCTAGTGGTAAGTTGACGGGAGGAGTTCTATTCGCCCATGCATGGCCAATTAATCAACCAGCCATACAAACACTGTTTTCAGACCCCTGTTTCTACAATAATTCTACCTCTCGCTACAGTTAATCAGCCAAATATTTCAGTGACGCCTCGTTTCCAAGCTCATAATTCTATTTTTATTAGCCTTTTCTAGATGGTTTCCTTTTCAATGCCAAGACACAAGTAAATGATTGAGCCCGTTGAGGGCAGTGTAGTAAGTATTTTTATACGTAGTACAGTCTCCTCCCTCTCGAGCTCTCTTTTTCGAGTTAACACTGCACGATCGCGAACCCAAACCCAACCACACTCGATATCTTGATATGATCCCTATTTTCCTGGCCGTTGAAAAAAATATACAGTTTAACCCATAAGAAAAACGAAAACCGCTGAGCGAAAGAAAAAAATAGAAATAAGAAATAAAAAAAAAAAAAAAAAAAAGAGAGAATAAGAATCTTACTCCGTCCTATCCTCATAGGGAACAAAAAAAGAGAGAGAGAGAAATATTTTTTCAAGGAAAAAGCAATAGGAAAAAAGAAAGAGTGACCTGTTTTCCAATAAAAGGAAAAATCGATTCGAATAAATATTACAAAAAAGAAAGGATAGTCTAGGAAAGGCTACTAAATTGTGGCCGTTTAATACGCTAATATGCCCACTGTTGTCGCAGCAGCCGCGGCGATAACCATACCCATATCCCATACCTGCGATCCCCTGTTCCCGGCGCTCTTTATCGTGAGCCGTCCGGCCGGATCATACAAGGGCGCCTCGGTGGTCGCCCTTGTTCCGTTCCAGCAATATTGCTGGAAACACTCCTGGCACTGTGCAGTCTGTGTGGCGCCTGTCCGCTCCTGCTGTCTGTGAATGATAGCGCATCCAACACATGCGTGCCATCTCTCGTCAACTGTTCCGTTGCCCTGGGTGGCAACGTTGTATCCGTTCTCAATCATATAGTCACGCTCGCGTTGGGTGTAGTCCATTTTCTCAGTGGAAGTATTGGAGTTGAACGAGTAGGGTGAGTTGGGGATGTATACGATCAATGGGGGGGGGAATCTGTCCGGGTCGGTTGTGATGTTGCTAGCATCGCAGCCAAAGAAAGTGGGGCGGTTATTAAGGCCCAGGGCGATGAAGGTGTTCACGTCTGGGATGGCAGGAAATAATGTTCCGTTGGCCATTTCGGCATTCAAATGCCTCTCGTAAGTTGCAATAAGGGCAGTGCCATTGGGCCAGTTTGTCAAGACATTACCGGGCTGAATAGTGTCGGCCGAGTTGTCCATAGCAAAGATAACGTCGACTTTGCGTGGTGGTTGGATTAGAGGGTGTATGGGAACGTTCTGCCCGTCAAGACCACCGTCAACGAGAGTCAAATCACGGGTTTTGGCTGAGGGGTTTATTTCAGGGTTAACATCGTAAAACGGGTTCGGGCTGTAGTCTGCAATATCGTTTTCCGATTCTGACAGGAGTCTGAGTGTTGCCCCTATGAGATCCTTGAGAACACCGGTGATGCCGAAGCTATCAAGCTGCGCGATCATGATGTTAAACAGAGATGATGAAGTTCCCATGACGAAGCTATTAGATTGTTAGCCATCGAACTCGATTCCGGTCAACAAACTACGTAATTCGACCTACCCAACATTGTCGAAACCATTAATGCACACATTGTCCTCAACGGGAGTACCATTGGTCACGTTGCTTCCCAGATATTTCATTTGTGTGAATGCGTATAAAGTTGGATCAAACGATCCAAATTCAAATACGTTATACTCATAAACTGTCGCGTTGCTTGAAATGATTAACTCTCCCGGATTCCTTCCATCGGCCACAATAATCGGGAACGGCATCGTCGCCGCTACAAAGTCGTCACTCTCCGCAATTGAAGAATAAGTCACGCCCGGACCTCCATCAGTCCAGTTCACAAACTGTCTCGACAGCGCTCGCGCCCAGTAATCCGTCAACGAAACATCGAAGCCCGCATCCTGCTTGGCCATGACCTCGTCATGCAAATCGTTATAGTACTTTGCTGTATCAACAATATGCAGCGCTCCCTCGGGGGCCAAGATGCTCTGTTCGAAATCCCATACATTTCCATCTTCTTGTAGTCTCTCGATCGTGGTGAAGTTGTTGATAACGATACTTCCCAACAACCAGCTCCCGCCTGACAAACCCGCCACATAAGTTGAGCTCTGGAGCAATCCTCCCAGATGTCCTGCCGCTGTTGACCCTGGTGACCTGCTGTCGAACGCTGCGAACTGACCCCCACCACAGAGCAGCGCCCTGTAGCCACCGCCCGAAAATGCGATGCCAATGGTTGGCGAGTACGATGACATGAAATTGCCCACATCGAAATCAACCATCGACGCACGGTTCAGGAACTCGGTCAAGGCCTGATCTGTGACCGTATGGCGCTTATCTACCCATTCGCGCTCGCCATCGGAAATATTCCTTGCGCTGCGAATCAGCGGGGTGTTTGGGCAACTAACTGGGCCTGGAGCATAGCCTCCGCTGGGCGAGTCGGATACAGCGCGCTGGGCGATCTCATTTACTGCTGCGTGTTCAGGAAGTGTGTTTGGTAAGGCACTAGATTGCACAGCTGTTGTCGCATTTCCCGAAACGTTAGCTGATTGCTTCTCTCTCGATGTTTATGAACAAGTTGTCCCCCGGCGTCGTAGGCAACAACGATGTGGTGTGAGATGATTGATGTCTTACCAGAAATTATCAAGGCAGCTGTCAACAGCACCGAAGGGCCCGAGATCACAACCATAGTAACAAGGTTTCTCGTGGAAAACAAATGATCAAAAAAGAAGATGTAGTAGAAGAAAGAGATAGCGGGGGAGGGGGGTTTTTGGGCGACTCCTCAGAGATCTGCTGCCTCACAATATGCAATCAGAAGGCTGGGAGAAAGGCTGGGATATGTCTCAACCAATTGCAAACAACTACCTGGTTACGAGAAAAACAAATAAAGAATATAACAGAGGAAGGAAACTGAGTAAAAGAGCGACTGTTATAGGAAAGGACAGGTTAAGGATTATTAGCCCTGCCGACGACGTCAACGTATTCGAAAGAATAATTAACAGCTGAGTTGACCGAATCGTGGCTGTCCTCCCGAATCGAAGATGCTATGTATATGTGTAAAAGTGCAAAAAATAAACAGGAGGTGGTGATATGATGATGGGAGCAAGTACTACTAGGAGAGGTAGGTAGCTGGTAGACAGACCCTGTATCAATTACTACCTTGTGGATCCCCCCCCCCCTCCATCCCCCATATCACCATATTTATCCCTAACGCAACGCTATTCGGCGCTTTCATTTGAATCTTGGATCGACTGTGCCGTGACCTTTTGCTTTCTATGGTTAAAGCCCCTCTCTCTTGAGTGTAAGTCTGCGCAGCTGCAGGCCAAATCCAGTACTAGCCCCCGTACACGGATATGCCGTTTTAGTAGCGGGAGCGTAATTAAGACCTACAGGTTATGTAGTTCCTTAGCTATTGTCCTCTTAGACCTCGCAGCAGCGCGTTTCACGGCCATGGTTCATATTTGATCCCCCCCCCCCCCCAACCCGCCATGTGCTCAACGCACAGTCGGCGCTTACCGTCAAATAGAATCCCAGGGCGAGAAAGACAAAAAAAAAAACTTTTCCAGAACACTCAGTAAAGGAACGCTCACAGACAGGCTCATCACTATATCTATCTAACACTACTCTAAACCAATATTCCTACTCTACACTACTGTTGACCCCCCCGTCGACGTGACATATCTGACTATCCCTACGCATCATATGCACAAACTGCTCCACGAGGGAGAATTCCTCCCAGCCGGTTCGCTAGTACAGTCAACATTCCAATGACATCGAAGAACCCTCTTTCCCCCTGCCTTATCGGGAGCCTGTTATCCGGGGGGCCCAAGGATTGGGAACGATCCGTCCCCCGGGGCGGGCTGTGCACTGTAATTTAAGGGTCCAGTCTGTATCATGGATTAATTCGTTCGTTGTAATGCAGGTAGCTAGTTAGCCCGTATTTATGTAGATAGAGTACAGTATGCTTATGGATACGCTTACTTGAGATAACCTTTCAGCAGCACATCCAGGTAGGTATATAGAGTTAAATTCACCACAACCCATCATAGGGGACACATTTTATGTAGGTACAGGTCGGCGTTTTGAGTTTGTACCCCCTAAAATTAACCTGATGTCGTGGCATTACATACGGCGAGCGTGTGGTAGAATTTTACTCTAGAAACCCGAGAAATACGAAATGGTCCAGCCAGCAATGCAAACCGTGCTGTTTTACTGGATTCAATAAACCCACCTCTCGCTGCACTGCGTGGGCGGCGCCAAGTATGTATTATGATTGTCCAGTCATCTAACGCAGTTATGTGATGGTTTCCTTTTTGCCATCTACATGTGCATATGCCTTATAACCCTAGTAATGTGGATGGGATCGTTTCCAATAAGGAGCCAAGCTAGAGATTGGAAATTGGTAATAACT